AGGAGTTAGTCTAAGGTCACTGAGCAACTTGTTTAGCGGCAATGCATCAATGTACCATCTAGCTATTGTTTCCAAATGAATAGAGGAACCCATAATTGCAACTAGAAAGCAGGGCTGTGTAACCCTGACTCACAGGTTTTCATGGAAAGGAATTACTGTGATATACTGGCCATTTGGCATATTGTAAATCTTTCTTGTTTTTGATCATCATTATGAAATGTTTGGCAGGATTTTTTTAGGGATGCTCATGTAACTGTCGATCTAACGGCCGACCGACAGATGCCCATCAGCCACATCCAGCTGCCTTGTTTAGTTATAATAACTGCCTGTGGATTTAAATAAATCATTCCATTACATGGGCACATAACGTAAAGAATGAACCAAACTTGTTTTCATCTGTAGACTACACTGAGAAACCATGTACATACTGTACATAACTGTTGAATACTATACAAACAGTGACTGTGGTCAGTATGATTGTTGATGAATGAAATGAGGAGAACACGGGTTGAGGAGAACGGACATCTTTGTTGTTCTGCGGAGGTCCTGAATGGCAGCTTCTGTGGCACAACAGTTATTTCATACAACAGAGAGCTTGAACCTCACACTGAGTTGAGGATTGACCATTTGATAAGACCCGAGACTATTTCAGGCATGTTATTTTGGGTAGGTTATAGAGATCTAATATTCTCAGTTCCTATTTTCAAAATGCCAGTGTCATTGAACAGGGTATACATACAGTGCATGCTTTTTCCACATTTTGTTACATTACAGCCTTATTCTAAAATTGATTAAATAAAAACATTTCCTCATCAATCTAAACACAATACCCATAATGGAAAAGCGAAAACAGGTTTCTAGAAATGTTTGACAGTGCATGTTAGAGCAAAAACCAAGCCATGAGGTCGAAGGAATTGTCCGTAGAGCTCCGAGACAGGATTGTGTCGAGGCACAGATCAGGGGAAGGGTACCAAAACATTTCTGAAGCATTGAAGGTCTAAGAACACAGTGGCCTCCATCATTCTTAAATGGAAGAAGTTTGGAACCACCAAGACTCTTCCTAGAGCTGGCCGCTCAGCCAAACTGAGCAATCGGGGAGAAGGGCCTTGGCCAGACGGAAGCCACTCCTCAGTAAAAGTCACATGACAGCCCACTTAGAGTTTGCCAAAAGGCAGCTAAAGGACTATCAGACCATGAGAAACAATGATGAAACCAAGATTGAACTCTTTGGCCTGAATGCCAAGCGTCACGTCTGGAGGAAATCTGGCACCATCCCTACGGTGAAGCATGGTGGTGGCAGCATCATGCTGTGGGGATGTTTTTCAGTGGCAGGTACTGGGAGGCAAGATGAACGGAGCAAGGGAAGATAAACGGAGCAAAGTACAGAGAGATCCTTGATAAAAACCTGCTCCAGAGCGCTCAGGACCTCAGACTGGGGCGAAGGTTCACCTTCCAACAGGACAACGACCCTAAGCACACATCCAAGACAACGTGGGAGTGGCTTCGAGACAAGTCTCTGAATGTCCTTGAGTGGCCCAACCAGAACCCGGACTTGAACCCGATCTAACATCTCTGGAGTGACCTGAAAATAGCTGTGCAGCGACGCTCCCCATCCAACTGGACAGAGCTTGAGAGAATCTGCAGAGAAGAATGGGAGAAACTCCCCAAATACAGGTGTGCCAAGCTTGTAGCGCCATACCCAAGAAGAATCGAGGCTGTAATCGCTGCCAAAGGTGTTTCAACAGAGTACTAAGTAAAGGGTCTGAATACTTATGTAAATGTCATGTTTCAGTTTTGTAAAAATATACATTTGCAAACATTTCCAAAAACCTGTTTATGCTTTGTCATTATGGGGTACTGTGTGTAGATGAGCGGGAAAAAACAATTTAAATCAATTTTAGAATAAGGCTGTAATGTAACAAAATGTGGAAAAAGTCAAGGGGTGTGAATACTTTCCGAATGCACTGTAGATAGAATTATGCATTAAATAATGTCACCACAAGCTCAGCTAAAGTAAGAACTCAGCTACAGTGAGAACACATTCCTTACCAACATCAATGCACTGCATCAACAAAAGGACCTCACTCTATGACTGGATGAGCATGGGAGGCTGAAAAAAGCTTTAGGGAACATTTTATTTTTAGCTTTTGATCAGATTTTGCTTCTCTGACAGCTGGACTCTGGCGTCATGCCGTTCCATTGAAAACAGCAGTTCAACCACAGATCACCTACTGTAGCCAAGGACTAAAATTCATTCGCATAACGGTCAAGTTTCAAAAATACTTATTTTCCCGGTTTCCAAATCAATACACTATTCCAGTCTTTTTGTCAAAATAGGTTTAGCAAAACGTTGAACAATGATGGCTAATTTCTGTCAATGTGTTGCCCCGTAAAATGCGTTGTTGTTCAAAGGCTCCTCAGGTACAGCATCATCCTAACAGTCAGAATGAACTCTGTGGAGCCTTTTACTTCCTGTGAAGAGACAAAAAAAGAGTAGTCACTATGCATAATCCCATCAGGAACAGAGGGAGTGATTGAAAATGAAAGACCGGCTCAGAAGCACTGTGGGAGGACAGTGTTGTGAGGAGAATAAGACGTTGTGTTCCATAACAAGACCGGATCTGACAGCCAAATCATTTGGGGACATCATGGCTCTATATACGGCAGATGAAAGTCATACACCATTTTGTTGCACTGTATATGGACGGGGTGGTGGCCATGTTGTAGGCTGTTTTGCTACTGTAGAATTGCAGGCAGGCAATATCTTCACAATGCATTACAAATCAGGACCAGGAAGTTATAAAACAGCATCATTCTGTTAAACAGAGACAATGCAATTTTGCCTAAAATATGATTGTGTCCATCTATGCCGTTCCTATCAGCGCAGATGTTACTTGATCGTAAACATGTTGTAAGCTTGACATTCAAGTCAAGCATGTTCCAGAAATGTTCTAAGGAAACCGTTTTCAACAGAAACATTCTTAGACTGTCTAGAAAACTGGACGAATATACAGTACATTGAAGGAAATCTGAACTAAACCAACCAGAAACATGGTTAGCAGTTAGCGCGGCTCACATCTGAAATGAGCTCTAGGGAGCCAACAACCGACCATAACAGTCCATCTCCATGGAAATGCATGTCGCACCATACCCTAGTTCAGTCCAATACCATGAACCCCTCTCTAACCACCTTTCCATCTGATCTGACTCGGCCGACCATGACGTCACGGAGACAGCTGAGAAGCAGATTCCTGAGGTTGCCTTGACGACGGGTAGTTAAACAAGGGTTACTGTGTACTCTGGGGAGTGGGTAGTGATGGTGTCACAATGGCCAGATGAGAAACTCCCCCTCTCTGAGAGCTAACTGGCCATTATCGGGAAACCACACTCCTCGATCTGGAGAATATTATCACATATGTTTAGTTCCCAAGACAAAACGATGAGGTAGATTTATTATTCATGGTTAACAGTTTTGATAGAAGGGATGTTAGTCCCTAAATAGTAAGTGGATTGTTTATTCCAATTATGAAGGAATTTACATTTTGAGGGTCAAAGAAACATTCAGTCAAATTCTGTGTTCTTTTTTTATTAAAGTGAGCAACAAAAAAACTGCACTCCAGTAACTTTACTGACTGACTGAAGTGTATTGTACAGTTTTCTGCTATCAAATACAGAGTGCATAATATACTTACATAGCAAGGGAGCTAGGCATAACTTTGAACTGATTCACAAGAATCACCATTATAAGCTAAACACAATACAGTACGATCAGCCATTTTCAATATATTACTTTCCATTTGATGCAGAGACACTCTGTGGAGGCAGAAAGAGACAACATTATGACCCCCCCCCCCAAAAAAAAATTACAGTAAGACTTACTGGTGATTTTATAATGAAATTGCTATAAATTCCAAATTTTGAATTGACCTATACATATGTATTCCTTTCCGTATGGTTTCTGTAAACCAGTGGTCACTAACCTTTTCTGAGTCAAGATCACTTTGAGTCAAAATGCAAGCTGAGATCTACCGCTCAGATTTTCTTTCTAACAAAACGTAAGCCTATGCAACATTAACCAATTAGAAACAGTTCTGTAGCAATGAAGTTTGTGCAGCAGGCTATAGGCCCAATACATTATCACTGCTTGAATTTCCCTGCAAATGTTTTGAAATTATTAGACTTTGCCTTCCCGTTGCTAGGGCTGCTGAATCAAGTGAACCTACAACCTAATAAAACATTTAAAAAATAATAAAGTGCACCTACCGCCAACAGCGCAAAACGAATAACAAAAAACGAACGTAAGGCTTTTATGTTGGGTTTTTTACAGAAATGTTTGGTGATCAACTAGGAATGCCTTGGAGATCGACCACGGTTGGTGACCACTGCTGTAAACAAAGAGTGGACAGACAGTATAGCATGTATTGCTGTAAACAAAGAGTGGACAGACAGTATAGCATGTATTGCTGTAAACAAAGAGTGGACAGACAGTATAGCATGTATTGCTGTAAACAAAGAGTGGACAGACAGTATAGCATGTATTGCTGTAAACAAAGAGTGGACAGACAGTATAGCATGTATTGCTGTAAACAAAGAGTGGACAGACAGTATAGCATGTAACCACAACTCTGCCCTTAAGTAGACCGAGACACATATGTTCACCAGAGTTTACATCAATTTAATTCAAAGTAAATTCAGGAAATGAAGTGGACATGGATTTATAATGGGATGTGCCCTTTATCCGCAATATCAATTCCTAAATTGACAGGAATAAAATATGAACTGATCGCAACTCTTAAGGGCCGGTCTCCCAGACTCAGATTAAGCCTATTCCCTGATTTACAAGCACTCTCACTGGAGATTCTCCATTGAGCATGCCTTTTATTCCAGGAGTGACCTTAACCTGGGAGCGGGGAAACCGGCCCAATTGGTTTAAAGTCCGACCTCTTGAACTCTTCACTGGGCAGTTGTACCTTCTGATGGAGGTCATGACCTTTGACCTCTCAGCAGTGGGTCCCCACGGTGGTGTAGGAGGAGGATGCCTCCCTGTGGATGGTGCTGAATGGTGACAGCTCCAGGTCGGTGGTGGTGCACTCGTGCTCATTCTCCTCGCTGGTGGTGGCGGTGGTGGAAGACCTTGGCGGGCCGCACTCGCCACAGCAGCAGCAGCAGCAGTCCAGGAAGGCCCGGCTGAAGGGCTGGTACAGGCAGAACAGCAGGACAGGTGTCACCGCCGACTTACAGAACAACAGCAGCTGGCTGACCAGGTGGAGAATATCCAGGGTCCGTCTGGGCACACCCGCTGCCATGTAGACTGTAACGATGTTGCAGATGTTCTCAGGGATGATGCAGAAGCCGTAAAGGATGGCCAACGCCACAACCGTGCAGTTCATCTGGTTCTCCAGCTGGAGCTGCTTCTTGTTGCCACGCACAAAGGCCCGCTCGGCCTGCTGGATTTTACGTGCGGTCACCAGGGAGCTGCCAATGGTGAACAGCGTTGGCAGGCAGAAGTAGCAGCCAAAGTACCACCAGAGGCGGGCTCCATCGTAGGTCAGGCCCAGCACGTAGAGCGTGTCCGGGAGGTCGGTGGAGATACGAACCACGCAGCGCTGGCAGGGCGTCACATCTGGAGGCTCGCCATCTTCAGTGACCAGCTGGTGGATCAGGAGCTCTGGCAGGGCCAATAGGAGAGCCCCAATCCAGATAACGGCCAGCTTGGCGGCCGTGGAGGCGCAGTTTTCAATCATCTCGTAATACATCTGTGCGTTGGTGGCGGCACGGAGGCGGTCGATGCACAAAGCACACAGGGTGAAGGTGGTGACCCCAAGGGAAGCGACCTGGAAAGACAAAGAGAAGGGAGGGGGAAGTTAGACACTATGTAGTTGATGTGTTACTACACAGGGTAAAGGTGGTGACCAAGAGGGAGGCGACCTGGAAGGACAAAGAGAAGGGAGGGGGAAGTTAGACACTACTGTATGCAGTTGATGAGTTATTACTGCACATTAACAATACCGTCAAAGTTCTGTCAAAGTGTTTAATTTTTTTAGAGAGAAACAAGTATAAAGACTGTATCCAGGCCCTATGCTTAACACACAATAGAGGAGATACTGGTGGTCCTCTGTAGCTCAGCTGGTAGAGCACGGCGCTTGTAACGCCAAGGTAGTGGGTTCGATCCCCGGGACCACCCATACACAAAAAAAATGTATGCACGCATGACTGTAAGTCGCTTTGGATAAAAGCGTCTGCTAAATGGCATATTATTATTATTATTATTATACTACTCCTAATTGCAATGCACCTTGGAAAGTCTGGATAAAATACCAAGGCCCCAGAGCCATCTTGCTCTCTGAAAAGACCAAAAGACTGTGTCCACTGTACACGATCTGTGTTTTAAACACAGCTTGGAACAATTTCCACGTGACAATGGTACATACAGCACAGTATACTAGACGTCAACAGGTTTAGAGAGGGACAGCTCTGTTACTGAAGTTGTTTTGACAGCTCTGTTACTTATCCCACACGAGTTCCTAATTTCCCATACTGAGATGTTTGAAAGTAGCCATGAGTAATGACTTATGAGTGATACTTTAAAGAATGGGAAGACTACAGTTAGGCGCCAAAAAGGGGAACTTTAGACTTTCTAATTATATCAAATTATAATATTGATGCCTGTTTAACATAATAAGAAGGTGCACAGTATACCGTGTGCAAGGGAGCCCATGACACAAAGAGAGAGAGAGAGAGAGCATATTCCTCAATATTTGGAACCAAGGACTGATCACGGCTGCTAGAATCTTGACTAGAACCCACCCAAAATTTGATCATATTACTCCAGGTCCTCCGGGACGGGTGGGAGAGAGGGAGAGAGGGAGAGAGAGAGAGAGAGAGAGAGAGAGAGAGAGAGAGAGAGAGCGAGAGAGAGAGAGAGAGAGAGAGAGACCACCAACCTAATTGACAAACAAACAAAGGCAAAGTCTTCTCATGCTTTGTTGATTTCAAAAAAGCTTTCGACTCAATTTAGCATGAGGGCCTGCTATACAAATTGATGGAAAGTGGTGTTGGGGGGAAAACATACAACATTATAAAATCCATGTACACAAACAACAAATGTGCTGCTAAAATTGTAAAAAACAACAACATTAATTTCCACAGGGCCGGGGGGGGGGGGGGGGGGGGGGGGGGGGGGGGGGTGAGATAGGGATGCAGCTTAAGCCCCACCCTCTTCAACATATATATCAACGAATTGGCGAGGGCACTAGAACAGTCTGCAGCACCCGGCCTCAGCCTACTAGAATCTGAAGTAAAATGTCTACGGTTTGCTGATGATCTGGTGCTTCTGTCCCCAACCAAGGAGGGCCTACAGCAGCACCTAGATCTTCTGCACAGATTCTGTCAGACCTGGGCCCTGACAGTGAATCTCAGTAAGACAAAAATAATGGTGTTCCAGTTGACAGGACCATGAATACAAATTCCATCTAGACGTCGTTACCCTAGAGCACACAAACAACTATACATACATTGGCCTAAATATCAGCGCCACAGGTAACTTCCACAAAGCTGTGAACGATCTGAGAGACAAGGCAAGAAGGGCCTTCTATGCTATCAAAAGGAACATAAAATTCGACATACCAATTAGGATCTGGCTAAAAATACTTGAATCAGTTATAGAACCCATTGTCCTTTATGGTTGTGAGGTCTGGGGTCCGCTCACCTACCAAGAATTCACAAAATGGGACAAACACCAAATTGAGACTGCATGCAGAATTCTGCAAAAATATTCTCAGTGTACAATGTAAAACACCAAATAATGCATGCAGAGCAGAATTAGGCCGATACCCGCTAATTATCAAAATCCAGAAAAGAGGTGTTAAATTCTACAACCACCTAAAAGGAAGCGAGTCCCAAACCTTCCATAACAAAGCCATCACCTACAGAGAAATGAACCTGGAGAAGAGCCCCCTAAGCAAGCGGGTCCTGGGGCTCTGTTCACAAACACAAACAGGCCCCACAGAGACCCAGGACAGCAACACAACTAGACCCAACCAAATCATGAGAAAACAAAAAGATAATTACTTGACACATTGGAAAGAACTTACAAAAAAACAGAGAAAACTAGAATGCAATTTGGCCCTAAACAGAGAGTACACAGTGGCAGAATACCTGACCACTGTGACTGACCCAAAATTAAGGAAAGCTTTAACTATGTACGGACTCAGTGAGCATAGCCTTGCTATTGAGAGAGGCCGCCGTAGGCAGACATGGCTCTCAAGAGATGACAGGCTATGTGCACACTGCCCACAAAATGAGGTGGAAACTGAGCTGCAGTTCCTAACTTCCTGCCAAATGTATGACCATATTAGAGACACATATTTCCCTCAGATTACACAGACCAACAAAGAATTTGAAAACCAATCAAATTTTGATAAACTCCCATATCTATTGGGTGAAATACCACAGTGTGCAAATACAGCAGCAATATTTGTGACCTGTTGCCACAAGAAAAGGGCAAACAGTGAAGAACAAACACCATTGTAAATGACTAAAATGTAAATATGTAAATGTGAATACAACCTATATTTATGTTTATTTATTTTCCCTTTTGTACTTTAACTATTTGCACATCACAACACTGTATATAGACATAATATAACACTTGAAATGTCTTTATTCTTCTGGAACTTTTGTGAGTGTAATGTTTACTGTTAATTATTTTTTGTTTATTTCACTTGCTTTGGCAATGTAAACATATGTTTCCCATGCCAATAAAGCCCCTTAAATTGAATTGAGAGCGAGAGAGAGAGAGTGCGCGCTTGTGGAAAGAGTTTGATTTATATGCTAGGTCTTGTGACTCCCTCAGGGGGTTCCGTTTATTGGGATTCGTTGATATAAACTGGTTTAAAATGAACTTTTCTGTAACTGGAGGGGGATATGAGGAAACAGGTGTATCACAACAATATCAAATATCTTTGCTATGTGTCATGACATACAAGGAATGCTTTGTCCCTAAGAACTTTCCCTCTATATGCTCGGTCAGTTGGAAATGTACTGCTGAGTAATTGTACATATGTAGCCAGTAATTTCATCATATCTATGACCGAATCTGTTAAAACACACTATTTCTTCAACTTAATCATCACAGTAGCATTACTCAAAGCCAATTAACCCTATCACTCCCGAGTCCCCAGCTAAAATTGGCTTTTCATTATCTGACTTTAATTTATTTGCATGTCCAGCTCTTATATTTAGCCTCACAAGGAAGTTTTACCATTTTCTTTTCAGGACAACCAGGGATACAAGTAGAACACAAAACAATTTGACATAAACAGTTGTATTCATGAGTTTTACTGACAAAAATAAATAAAAAAAAGTCTGCCAAAGCAAAAACCTGATTTAAAAAAAGATTTATATGAATGCTGTACAGAAATGGTTTGCTCAGTGGGAAATTAATATCCAACTAGTCAGTGACAAATGTCTGGAGTTTGTGACAGCGACTACGTGAGCTTATTACAGTATTATAGACACTATGTCCTGGGACTTCCTATGATACCTTCTAAAGACTTATCTAGCTTGTGAGAAATCAAGAGAAGAGAGAGGGAGAGATAGAGAGAGAAGATATGAAGGGAGAGATAGAGAGAGCAAGGGAGAGATAGAGAGAGAAGAGCGAGAGGGAGAGATGGAGAGCGAGAGAAAGAGAGCGGGAGAGATAGAGAGAGAGAGAGAGAGAGTATTGTCAAGACAAAGCGCTCTCAACCAAATACCATCATCGTCAACGTGACAGCTATCCTCTAGAGCTGTGTCAACAGTGGCGGGCAGGCCTCATCTAACTAACCTCTGTCACATCTGTGTCCATAATGACAAATTGTGACAGAGCACTTTAGTTGTCACAGGAGCCATTAGAATTAATGTCCCCACTGTTTGCGTAGTTATGCTCCATTAATTGCTTGATTAGAGAGTCGCTTAGCATAACGAGGATGCGGCTGCCGCTATTCATTTAATGTTCTTAATACGGAGGCTGGCTACTCAAAGAGACTCAAAGTCTGGGACTGTAGTTTTAAACTGGCCTACAGGTCATGTTGGCATAGAATTGGACTTGCAAACACAATGACAATCACTGCCAATAAGCAGCTTACAGACTAGCGCTGGCACTTCATACAGCATCCCTCATACGGATTGTTTGGGTCTTTTTGAGATGGCTTATTTGTCTTGTAGTCATTATGTAGGTCTATACACTGAGTGTACAAAACATGAAGAACACCTTCCTAATATTGAGTCGCACCGCCCCACTTTATCCCTCAGAACAGCCTCAATTCGTTGGGGCATGGACTATACAATGTTGCCCATGTTGACTCCAATGCTTCCCACAGTTGTGTCAAGTTGGCTGGATGTCCTTGGGTGGTGGACCATTCTTGATACACACGGGAAACTGTTTAGTGTGAAAAACCCAGCAACGTTGCAGTTCTTGACACAAACCAATGCCCCTGGCACCTACTACCATACCCCATTCACCCTCTGAATGGCACACATACACAATCCATGTCTCAATTGTCTCAAGGCTTAAAAATCCTTCTTTAACTTGTTTCCTCCCCTTTATCTACACTGATTGAAGTGGATTTAACAAGTGACATCAATAAGGGTTCATAGCGTTCACCTGGTCAGCCTATGTAATGCGAAGAGCAGGTGTTCATAATGTTTAGTACACTCAGTGTATGTGCCCGGATAGATGAACTGAGCCACCTGGAGAAGGATTTTTTTCTAGATAATTTCCTCTTCCAAAAGGAGCATGCTTCCTTCATGAACAGAATGTAGTTTCTTCCGGGTAAATACTCCACACATTTCCCATGAAAGGCACTCAGGACCAACAGTATGATAGTGAACCACAGCAAAACTATGTCATCTTACAATAATTACATTTCCACAACAGTGAGAACAGACAGACTGCTAAAAGCAGGAGGGTGAATCAAAGAGGTCTGTAAAAGAGTGGAGGATTGGACTGCATAAAACACAGCGACAGATACACCCAGCCCTAGGATTTTGCACTTGTGGAGATCTGAAAGGATGGGATAGGTGTAAACAATAGTAAAAATTGCACCTAGCCTATCAGAAGACAGGGTGGGTCTTTTAACGTGTTGATTATACTTAATCCAATCACCTCAGATCTGTGTTTATTTTCATTGACACTACTTTCACCAAGAAAGCTCATAGTTGTTGAGCAGCATAGGTTTTACACTGTAACCTCGGACTGTATTAGGTGTTCCAAGTTCTTGGGCTACATAACGGGGGTATGAAAAAAAAAAAAAAAAAAAGTGATGTATGCACTAACTGTAAGTCGCTCTGGATAAGAGCGTCTGCTAAATGACTTAAAATGTAAAAAATGTAAAACATAACATTTAGGTTAGTGCTATCCGGATTCCTTGGGACTTCCCTACCCTTGACATTAGGACATCCCAAGGATCCCGTTTAGACTTTTCCCGTATCATCTAGATTATTGTGTGTTGTCCCTAGCTGCACCTGGGTCTGTCTGGGTTTCAATTTAGACAGTATGTGATATAACCAGCTAATCTGCTGTTTTTTTTAAAGGTGGATATCCTGTTCTATGAGGCTCAGTTCTATGATGTCAGATTACGCCATTCTTAATGCACCAATCACAATTTACTGCACTTACACGGCAAGCGGAACAGAACTCAGTTTTCTCCAACTCCGGTCCAGGAGAGCTAGTGGGTTTGCAGGCCTTTGTTCCAGCCCAGCACTAACACACCTGATTCAGCTAATTGTGGTCTAGGTTAAAGACCATGATTGGTTGATTATTTGAAACAGGTGTGTTAGTGCTCGGCTGAAACAAAAGTACACCCAGTTTCTCTGTAGGACCTGTGTTGACGACGTCTGGAAACTGGGTACAAACTGTTCACGTTGTGAATAAACCCCAGGGGCAATAACAGACTATCAACAATTAGACCATTTTTTATTTTTCATAATATGGTCCTGCAGTGAGGGAAAAAAGTATTTGATCCCCTGCTGATTTTGTACGTTTGCCCACTGACAAAGACATGATCAGTCTATAATTTTAATGGTAGGTTTATTTGAACAGTGAGAGACAGAATAACAACAAAAAAATCCAGAAAAACACATGTCAAAAATGTTATAAATTGATTTGCATTTTAATGAGGGAAATAAGTATTTGACCCCTCTGCAAAACATGACTTAGCACTTGGTGGCAAAACCCTTGTTGGCAATCATAGAGGTCAGACGTTTCTTGTGGTTGGCAACCAGGTTTGCACACATCTCAGGAGGGATTTTGTCCCACTCCTCTTTGCAGATCTTCTCCAAGTCATTAAGGTTTCGAGGCTGACGTTTGGCAACTCGAACCTTCAGCTCCCTCCACAGATTTTCTATGGGATTAAGGTCTGGAGACTGGCTAGGCCACTCCAGGACCTTAATGTGCTTCTTCTTGAGCCACTCCTTTGTTGCCTTGGCCGTGTGTTTTGGGTCATTGTCATGCTGGAATACCCATCCACGACCCATTTTCAATGCCCTGGCTGAGGGAAGGAGGTTCTCACCCAAGATTTGACGGTACATGGCCCCGTCCATCATCCCTTTGATGTGGTGAAGTTGTCCTGTCCCCTCAGCAGAAAAACACCCCCAAAGCATAATGTTTCCACCTCCATGTTTGACGGTGGGGATGGTGTTCTTGGGGTCATAGGCAGCATTCCTCCTCCTCCAAACACGGCGAGTTGAGTTGATGCCAAAGAGCTCGATTTTGGTCTCATCTGACCACAACACTTTCACCCAGTTCTCCTCTGAATCATTCAGATGTTCATTGACAAACTTCAGACGGGGATGTATATGTGCTTTCTTGAGCAGGGGGACCTTGCGGGCGCTGCAGGATTTCAGTCCTTCATGACGTAGTGTGTTACCAATTGTTTTCTTGGTGACTATGGTCCCAGCTGCCTTGAGATCATTGACAAGATCCTCCCGTGTAGTTCTGGGCTGATTCCTCACCGTTCTCATGATCATTGCAACTCCATGAGGTGAGATCTTGCATGGAGCCCCAGGCCGAGGGAGATTGACAGTTATTTTGTGTTTCTTCCATTTGCGAATAATCGCGCCAACTGTTGTCCCCTTCTCACCAAGCTGCTTGGCGATGGTCTTGTAGCACATTCCAGCCTTGTGTAGGTCTACAATCTTGTCCCTGACATCCTTGGAGAGCTCTTTGGTCTTGGCCATGGTGGAGAGTTTGGAATCTGATTGATTGATTGCTTCTGTGGACAGGTGTCTTTTATACAGGTAAAAAACTGAGATTAGGAGCACTCCCTTTAAGAGTGTGCTCCTAATCTCAGCTCGTTACCTGTATAAAAGACACCTGGGAGACAGAAATCTTTCTGATTGAGAGGGGGTCAAATACTTATTTCCCTCATTAAAATACAAATCAATTTATAACATTTTTGACATGCGTTTTTCTGGATTTTTGTGTTGTTATTCTGTCTCTCACTGTGCAAATAAACCTACCATTAAAATTATAGACTGATCATGTCTTTGTCAGTGGGCAAACGTACAAAATCAGCAGGGGATCAAATACTTTTTTCCCCTCACTGTATGACATTCAGTATGTAGTCAAAAGTGTGTTAATATAAACCCAGTTACCAATGCTATGGCTACAAAATATAGACTTTACTGTATGGTTAGCTTTCTGGAAAACATGTTATTTTAAAGGCCTGTCTTGGCTCTGTGTGATCCCTCAACACCTACATTTAACATTGTATCTTTTACAATAGATGGCTGACATAAGAGCTGCCTTACAGCTGAAACAGACAAGTAAGCTGATGCAACAACAGGTGTGGGTCTCTGATGTAATTATTGAGGGCTAGTGAGTTTCAGACTACTGCCTTATTAGGGAAAGTAGGACTGTAACCCTATCCCTGACATAGCATAAGTCGCCTAGGGGTTTTTACCTCTGTAGCTAGCCAGTGACACCCACCTAAGAGTTTGGAACAACAGTTTGAGGTGACATTCGGGACAAAAAAATCTAGACCTGGGAAAGGATCCCTCAAATACTGCAAACACTTGAAGCACAGAACATTGTATGGTGTATGAATTGACATACAGTGAGCTACAAAAGTATTGGGACAGTGACACATTTTGTTGTTGTTGATGAGTGAGAAAGTTACACACAAATATCATACCCCCCCAGAAAATGCTAACCTCCCCTGTTATTGTAATGTTGAGAGGTTAGCATGTCTTGAGGTTATGATATTTGTGCGTCTAACTTTCTCATTCATCATTATTCACGATTCATTCAGGACTATCAATCCATAATCATGGTAGCATCCACATTAATGTTGAAGTTTTTAGAAAAATATGATATTCTTATTTACAATAAAAGTGACTCCATTCATTTCTATTGGGCACAAAATAATCTGAAACACAACCAAAACAAACAGCAAATACATCCAACAAACTTGAAGTCACAAGCTTGATGTAGTCATTGCGTGCTATGAATATGGGACCAAATAATTTTTACTACTTTAATACACATTAGTGAATTTGTCCCAATACTTTTGGTCCCTTAAAATGCGGGGGACTACGTACAAAAAGTGCTGTAATTTCTAAACGGTTCACCCGATATGGATGAAAATACCCTCAGTCTGCACTTCATAGTCATTGTATCATTTCAAATCCAAAGTGCTGGAGTACAGAGCAAAAACAACAACAAAAATGTGCCACTGCCCCAATCCTTTTTTAGATCACTGTATGTGACAGCTTTCACAAGGAAGATAGGGTTATTGACAGCAGACTTTGAACAGTGACTGTGTGCCCCCACTTCAGCACCCAATCATAACACTCACTCAAGTAACACAATAGCTAGTGGACATTATTACCTCAATATAGGGGATGATTTTACAGGAGAACTCCCCCAACAGCCAATTCTTGGTCAGTTCATGGAAGATCACCAGGGGCAGGCAAAAAAAGATGATAACAAAATCCCATAGGGCGAGATTGGCCAGAAGAGAATTTGAAATACTTCTCATGTAGTAGTTGTGGCACACAATGCACATGATTGCTATATTCCCAATTATTCCAACAGTGAAAATGATGACCGAAAGTATCATGATGGCATATGCCCCATATGATTCTGCTGTTACAGGGTAAAATGGGTTTTTGACATCTTTTCTCCTAGTTTGAGGATTGAGAGGAATCAGTGGGGTATAGTCCTGGAGGTCTGGCAAAGTGAACTGTTCATAATCAGTGGCATCAAATGGCATGTCTGTTGACTGGTTCTGGGCCATTGGGTTAGGCAGGGGTTCCCATGTGGCCAGCGGTGCGTCCAAAGACGCATCTGACAGCATGGTTGGCTCGCTTATTTTGTTATCTTTTTTACTGCCATCCTTCGCGTTTCTTCTCTGACGGTCTACAGTTGCTCTTTTGTGTCTGCAGATCCGTTTGTCCTCGTTACAGTGGTGTCCTCCTCGCTTATGTCTCGTGGAGGGCTTTAAATTAATGTATACACCATCTTGCGTTTCCATGGCTGCATGCTTCTCGGTGTCCAACTTTTCCTCCATGAGCATTTTTGACTCGCCTTCCTCGGGTAACCTAACGGGTTCTGTTCCATTTGACGAATTGCTTTTGCGCACCATTGTTCTTTCATTCATAACCCTTTTCGTATTGAATATAGTCCCATTTATGTTATCCATCCATGTCCTAACCACATCCCAAGAAGATGAACTTGGAGTATGCACCCTTTTATTGTCAATTTCGTTGATAACTCTGCCATACGCCGAGTGCCATCTCTGACTATCACTATCGGTTTTGTGTAGATTCCCGATAGTGACGGCGGATTCATAATGTCTAGGAGTAAAATGCGTCTTTGTCTTCTCTCCGTGTATGTGAGTGAACACATTCTCGCTCCAAAGCGAGAAACACAGTAATCTTAAGAGTAGTACCAGCATTGTTTATTCTAAAACACGCAACAATAGTATATCGTATTCGAAATAGATTTATCCATGGATGATTACCACATCGGAGAGACGACGGAAACAAAGCCAAACCAAAACTCACAAGTTAGATTTTTTGTTGTTGTTGTTGACAGCTTCATTCCATAGTTGTCAACACCACTTCGAACTAAATAAAGTGCACTTGGCAATGGACAGGTGAGTCTCAGAAATGCGACAAAGGAAAGTTCAACAACGGTTGTTTCCTCACCATGTGAAGTAGGCTTTGTTTGAATTTCGTCTGTGCCTCTGAAGATATAACAGATTGTAAAAGGATTAAGTGGTCAAAAGATCGTATTTCAAAATCATGCGCGTCTAGGTCCGAAAAGCGCCCTGGACGGTTACTGTTACCCACGATCCGGGCGCCCAGAGTCCGTGATGGAGTGCGTATTGTCTGGGATGTGCCAAGCTCCGTCTAGAGCTGCGCATTGTGAGCATCATGGAGAGAAGAGACGGGCTCCCCTCGCGGCTAACCCGAATCTGTCTAACTAAATCAGTCAGCATCACTCAACCACCTCAGACAATGTCGCTCCTTGAAATACTGTAAGTAGCCTACAAACGTTTCTTGTTTTGCTGGAGGTTGATCTCCGTTGAGGACCTAACAGGAAGTGTTTTGTGCAACTTGCCAACGACATGATTCACTGCAACTAGAGGTTTTTGTTAAGCGTGGTGGCATGTTGTATAAGGCCTACTGTACACATCAATGGATATGGCCTGTACTGCAGGACCACAACGTGTAAAACGCATCTCACGGTTGCGCTGTACTGGGGAGCTCAGGTTCATGAACGCAAGCACTCATTGTCTTTTTGTGTAAAGCTAAACAGTTGCCCGACCATGCTTTCAGCAATTCCAAAAAACACCAGCATATTATTCAATAGGCTATTGATTAATTGAACATTTTACAGCCACATTCAGTGGACAGGAGTTAAAGTAAATGTCCAGGATTTCCAGATTTCTATGAAATATGATCTATAATTAATTACAATATGAGTGAAATAGTTTCCTTCCAAAAAACAGTAATTAAGTATGCCCAAAAGCAGCTTTTCTGTGTTGGAATGGTGTGGGTGTACCCCAACAACAGAATGGTGTGGGCATATACAGTTCACACAAAATATTTACGCTAGTAATCTGCTGATTGGCCAGATCATCCTCCTCAGGAGTATGACATCATACTCTATGAGGAAATAGCAAGCATTTTTAAACGGTCTGTTTGAGATACAAGTTTGAGGTGGGTTTTTTTTCCAAGTGTTATTTCCCCTCCAATTTATGCTTTGGCCACAAACACGAGTATAGGATAAGTCAACAAAATTATTTGGGTATGGGTTAACAGGATATTAACTTTTAAAAATGAGATTTCACTGGACAGTTACTTTAATACCTAAGTACCTGGGTCTATCATGTCATACAAAGACAAGTATAATAGATGTAATCACTGTAGCTTTACACACAGCTCATTGGCACCCCCTGGGAAAAATGGTAGCAACAACAAAAACTATTTAGGCTATAGCAAAATATGATGCATCATTCAACATAAAATAAACGGAAGAACACAACAGAAAATAAACAATTGACTCCAATTTACGTTTGAGCAGTCCTGGGTAATTGCAATTGGAGTAATTGCAATTGGAGTTTGTGATTAGGCTACTTTACTTTATGTGGCTATTACATTTAGTTTTACAGGGACAGTGCACATTAAATCAACATTACTGTAAAAGTGCCAGTTTAAGCCAGCCAGCTAGTTTTCAACTGCAGACTGATTGCCTTGGGATAACGGTTGTTAATAACTAATTAGCCAATTAACAATGATGTCACTAGAGCAAATGACACCAATGAGTGTTGCCTAACGCCCATTAGTCCAGGTTAACGTCCGAGTGAGCTATACAAATCCACCAAACTTCATTGCTTCAATTGGTTATTAACTAAGAACCAAGACAATCTGATTTGCAGCACAAACAATGAATAAGACTAGAATGTGCACCACCTTTCTCTGGATAAGAGTGCCTGCTAAATGAGTAAAATGTCAATAAATGTAAGCATACAATCTGTGGAGCCATGCACTGCTACCTTCACATAGGCTACAGGGGTAAACTGCACCTACCACGGTAGAACAAATGTCTGATTTCATAAGCCATTATTATTTATGATAGACTGATAACTCACCTTTGTACAGAACAACCTGAAGTTAGAGAGCAGGTGTTGATGTATGGAGATTTTCCCCAAGTGAACACTGTGTCCTCACAGCATGGATGATGCATACGGTACAAAACCAGAGCTCAGGAAATCAGACATCACAAAGTCCCCTGCCAACTGCATTACAGCACACACCAACATCACTCCAGGCACCAGAGTCTTATTAATCTTGAACTCAATATTAGCAAGATGTTCATAATGTTTTATATACTCTGTGTATATTACCTGCTGTGGGCAGTACCTGCCTGATTGATTTGCTATACAGGACTTAATAAAGCCTCACAATTACATAAATCAAAGAACGCATCCAGTAATTAGGCACTTGGTTGTTTCAACCAATGTGTTAATCCGTTTATTACAGATGCAGTGTTTCCCCTATATTCATATAGCAGCGGCCGTTTTTTATTTTTCTACAAAATAATTATCGGGATGGTAAAACATTTTCAGTCTAAATTTAAAAAAGATTAAAACCAGATATAAAGTACAGTATGTACAAAAGATAATTGAGCTATATATTTTTTAAACAAGATCATCTTTGCCACCGCTACTAAAGGAAATCCTAGGGGAAACGCTGAAATTTATAAAATACTTATAAACCCTTTATAAATAATTTGTTACCAAAATTCCAAGAACGACAAGACTGGCCACTAACATCATTAGCCTAATAATCAAACATGATCAAGTAATACATTACAAACCAAAACCTGCATACACACCACAGGGGGTCCCACATCCATTGCATTCCAAACACATTTCATCGATATACCACCAGATAGAGCCCTAGAGCCACACGTAGAACAGAACATCACTACTAGTTCCCAGGGAGCTATATCCATTTCAGCCACATTACCTCGGGCCATGAAGCCCATCATAAAACAATCGTTCACCCACAGATTAACTCCATTGAGAGTGATACGAATGTGCTTTTAGAACCCATTTCAGGTGCCAGTGAAATTCGAAGACAATTAAGAACTATCAGTAGGCATTTTGGGCACAGAAATAGTAATTCTGTGGTTTTGACATGACACCATTCCACCCTGAGGCGGCCCTAGGTTGAAAGTGCCTACTGTAATGATATTCATTAGTTGATATCCAATTAAAAACGTAATATATTCTTTTTGTTGCAATTCCACAGATGCAAACCTTCAAATCTGTCCCTATAAAAAGGCTACAGAAGAAATAGTGTGATATGATGTAGACCAGGGTTATTCAGCCTGCTGGTTTTCTGTTCTACCTGATAATGAATTGCACCCACCTTGTGTCCCAGGTCTAAATCAGTCCCTGATTAGAGGGAACAATGAAAAAATGCAGTGGAACTTGCTTCAAGGTCCAGAGTTGAGTTTGAGGGATGTAGACAATGAAAATGCCATGATTAAATTCAAATTGACAATTCAAATAATTTGTCATAGAATTTATTTCTAAAAAGGGGAAAAATAAGTTTACACATACTGTCAAGAAAGTACAAAAAATATAAGATGTTGGTACAAAGAAGGAAATAAGACAAAGGAAATGGTCAGAGACACTCAAAGCCAGATACATTTCAGCCAATATAAATTTGTATGATGAATCGAGGTACACAACTATATACAATATTCACAAATGACTATTTGGCATATACATGACATTCTGGTTGGTTATGTTGAGTGCTATGTGTCACTAGGTGTGGCGTGTGTGTGAGGGTGTGTATGTGGGTTAGTGCCTCTGGTATCCGTGTGGCAGATCTGGTAGCAGGCCAGTCTCTGGCCGTTCTCCTCCACTGTGTAGGCACTGAGACACAGGTCCATCCAGGGCCTCTCCGCTGGGCACAGGAAGGGAAAGGTCACAGACAGACATGAATACACCACACAAAAATGAATACAACACACAAACATGCATGCACACACACCAAATTGACGTCCTTAAATACATATTTTAGCCTGGTCTGCTCAGGAGGACATGTGAATACTAATTGCTGTCCAGTCACTTGCTCAATTGCTGCTGTGTATTCACGCTCTGAGGGGCCATCTGCCTGGAAGCTCATCCAGCCTCATTGCTCACTAATGGGAAACCTCTACACTGTATGTCAATGCTTCATTAGTGCCCAATGTTGATGTGGGGTTAAAGACTCTGCCCTTGAAATATTGACAGAATGTTTTTCTCACTTCAAAGGTCTATTTATGTGATAGTGATACATCAGTGGACTTTACAGTGCTGGAAGCAGCCTGCGGCAAAGCCTATATAATAAGGGATGTTTCTATACAGGGCCAATGAGTCAATGTAGCTCAGTTGGTAGAGCATGGCGCTTGCAATGCCAGGGTAGTGGGTTCAATTCCCAGACCACACATATGTAAAAAGTATGCATGCATGACTGTAAGTCGGTTGGATAAAAGCGTCTGCTAAATGGCATTTATTATTATTATTATTATAATGTATGATTACCCATGCTACTCCCTGGTGGGCAGAGTCTGTCCATGGTTTCCTGGACCCTGTCTTGTGCCTCCTGGTCGTTTGCTGCGTCCTCAGCTGACACGTGGAAGAAGGATTCCTGCCATAGGGTTAATGGAGAGTTACCAGTTAGACAACACGTGTACAGTACACATTGAGCCAAACTACCCATGCAGACCTATGGGCACCAAGTTGAAAAATATTTAAATGTGTTGTGTCTGTCTTGTCTCTTCATATGGACTGCCACCCATCCCCTCACGTACTGCATCTCTCCAGAGCAGGGCCTCCAGGGAGCCGGTCCCATCCTGCAGCTCCAGCTTCATCAGTAGGCCATACTGCAGCAGCTGCACCCCCAGAGCTGGGCGAGGGAAGAGAGCCGAGAGGAGAGCCATAACATTAAAACCAAATGATTTAAGAGAGAGACCTGAGCAGAGGCAGGAGAGGACGCATGGTGTAACTTTACAACCCAAGGTGCTGCTGAATCAGGAGGGAAACCATAACATAAAACTGAGGATTGGTGGAGTGAAGAAACGCAGCAGACGTAACATTAAAAGTGCTGGTGGAGAGGAGACATAAGATCAAAACAACTGAGGGTTCAGGAAAGGGGCAGGAGCCTAGTAACGAGGGTGAGAGAGAAGACAACACAGTCCAACCAGAAGATGCTGGTGGGAGGAGCTAGAGGAGGACGGGCTCATTGTAAAGACTGGCATGGCATAAATGGAACGGTATCAAACACACCAAACATATGGAAACCATGGAAACCATGTTTCACTCCGTTCCATTTATTCCATTCCAGCAATTGCAATGAGCCCTTCCTCCTATAGCTCCTCCCACCAGCCTCCTCTGAGTACAACAAAATCCTCAATAGCTGGTGGCTTGGGGCAGAGAGAAGATCAAGAATAGCCAGCACATTTAAAAGCAAAGAGAGGGATGCAGGTAATCCTTACATGATCAAAACGGAAGCTGTGACCATAGCATTAACAAGCCGAGACGTCACAGACACAACAGAGCAGTGAAATGGAAAACCTAGCCGAGCCAGAATATCCACAAGAGCTAAAGAGAAAGCAGTCATAACACAAACAGCAAGAACATAAACAAAACCCCAGGTCACAAAGGTCACCGTGATAGATCTGTCTCTGTGTACTGTAGCTCATGTTCCACAAAGCCAGTTAATGCCACCCAAGCTAACATTGCCTTTTAATCATCTTAAAAATTAAAAATATATTTTTTATTTTTTTACACCAAATACAAACATACACATATGAACAACTTACAGAAGCACACAAACAACGACTACATCTTCATTGCTATTTCCATTACTAAGATGATTAATCTGACTGATAACCTGTGTGGTGTTCAGTAGACATGGAAGGTAGTAAACAGAAGAGGTGTTACACAAACTGGTCTAATAAGATCTTCCTACAACTGCAAAATGTTTTGCCACAGTTTTGCCTGTGAACACGACCTAGGTGAGAGGTTAATGTGATTAAGGGGCGAATAGGGAGAAATAAAGACGGGGTCAGGTCCACACTAAATCTCCACCACCTAAAAGGTGTACACAGTGAGAAAGAGATCGTCATACCGTCTGCCACACTTTTCTCATCCAACACCTCTACTCCTTCTCCCAATGACTCTCCCACTTTTAGTTGGGAGCACTGTTTGCATCTGAAAAACACAAAAGGCATAAAAACCCACATCACATTTTAGTGCATTTAAGTACACAGATGGACAAAATGTGACCGGTGTCAGATGTGGCTAAGACAGTCACTTTCAAGATAGATACAGACCCATAGTATCTTTTCGTGCCCCGGAAGAGGAAGGGAGCCGAGAGATCCAGCGGGGTCATGGTTCCTTGTGGTGACGTCACTGGGACAATGTTACTGTACGCGGATGCTATCCGACACGTCTCCTCCAAGGTAGCCCCTACGGGAAAGCAGACAAAATAATGGATAACAGTTTAGCCTTTGGCGTAAAACGTAGAGTAAAAACGTCCTTCTACTGTCATTGTGTAGGTTTTAGAAGGCAAACGTGATATGCATCACTAAAAGAGACCCGGATCACTGTGTTTCAGTAGAAATAGATTGCATTTATATAGCGTTTCTTTACTAGCTTTCAAGTCTGTACGGTTGTGGCCATGAGAGGAAGAGAGATGCAGATAACAGTCCATGTCTCCATAGCAACAGGGCAATTGTGTGGTTCTCACCCTTCAGGAAGATCAGCTCCTTTGCCTTGCCCTTTCCCATTAGCTGGCTGGAGATCAGAAGGGTCAGGTTCCGGCTGGGGGATTCAGAAGGAGGCTCTCTGGGGAGATTCAGCTCCAGAGTCCAGTACCCATTATTACAAGGTCCAACGTCCTTCTGGGCCTCTGAGAACACCCCCCCCACTGTGACATCATCAGGGACGTCCCGTCTGAAAGGTACAGGGCAGAGTTTCTCAATCTATTCCTGACTGGTTAGTACTGTCTGGAATCCTTGGGACGTCCCTACCCTAAACCCCTACCCTTATCCTTACCTTAACATTTAAAAATGTTTAAACGTTAACTTCAATGAGGTAAGGACGTCACAAGGATCCCAGATAGCAAGGACCATTCCTGATTGACTCCCAGAGGGTGCACACACCTGTTTCAACTAATAAAGGGCTTGGTGATTTTGGTTGTTAGTGTATAGAAGTAACTCACATGGTTTTACACTCGTGGCAATAGAGTTTCAGGGACTGGTAGAGTCTCTGAGGCTGGTAAGACTTGAGCTGAGCCTGAACGTGGAACACCTGAGGAGGGCCTCTGCTCTTCACTTCAGCCAGACTCACCTGTTCCACAGTGTGGTCACACTTCCTCTCTACACCAACACACATACAACAAGTGTCAGAGTCGCTAGCAGATTGTAACGGGCTAATGTGATGCTCCATTAGCCGTTACGGGATAGGTACTGTTTGGCGTAGCACAAATAATGTTCGACCAACCTTAACTTGGCGATACTATCTTAGTTCTCGATTCACTCTAACATGCATCTTCTAAAATGTCCGTGTCCAGTTGCAGGTGGTTCGTTTGAATGTAGAAAATGCTCTGTTATTAAAATAAATACATGTTTTGTTCTATGAAGTAATCCAACAAAGTGTACGCTACCATCTTGTCTATTTAAATCTTCTCTCACTGATTGAGACAGGTGGGTCCACCCCAAAGTGACGCATGTCATGATGACACTCACTGGTCTTTATCAATGAGAAGATTTGAAATAAACAAGATTGTGGCATACACATTGTTGGATTACTTCATGGAGCAAAACAATCATTTATTTTAATAACAGAGCATTTTCTAAATTCAAATGAACCACTTACAACTGGACACAGACATTTTCTAAGATATATATTTGGCCGAATTGAGAATGAAGATAGTATCGTCAAGTTAAGGTTGGCCGAAAATTATTTGTGCTACGCCGAACAGTATCTAGCCTGTAACGGTTAATGGAGCATCACATTAGCCCGCTAGTGTCAGACAGGACTGCAACAATACAAAGACATGTACACCCACATCTGTGATAGAAGTCTATTAGTAGTGTAGGAGTAGTCTGAAACCCAGTTTCCATTGTACTGGCAGGGGGTGTGAAATACGCCTAGACTGGGAAGTGATTTTGTACTGGCAGGGGGTGTGAATTACGCCTAGACTGGGAAGTGATTTTGTACTGGCAGGGGGGGTGAATTACACCTAGACTGGGAAGTGATTTTGTACTGGCAGGGGGTGTGAATTACGCCTAGACTGGGAAGTGATTTTGTACTGGCAGGGGGTGTGAATTACGCCTAGACTGGGAAGTGATTTTGTACTGGCAGGGGGTGTGAATTACACCTAGACTGGAAAGTGATTTTGTACTGGCAGGGGGTGTGAATTACACCTAGACTGGGAAGTGATTTTGTACTGGCAGGGGGTGTGAATTACGCCTAGACTGGGAAGTGATTTTGTACTGGCAGGGGGTGTGAATTACGCCTACAAATATGTAAAAAGATCTGGCAGCAACAATGTGCTTATAATTTTCCCACAAGTGTCAAGAAATAGCTCCATACTTTTCATTTCATACCTGTAGCAATTTCATCTGGAGAAGCACCTAAAATGACAGCAGAAACATATGTGGTGCCAAAAGTTTCCTCCAAACCACGCCCTTCCAAACCATTATGACTGTAAGCAATATTAACAGGAAAACCAGATATTGTACACAAAAGCATCAAAGTGAAAAATGTAAACATACCAATAGACTCTGGTGGTGTACTCCAGACCTCAAACAGGGATGAGTCATTTATGTCAGAGTCTGAGAAGGTCTCCAAGATCCTGAAACAATGAGAAAATAAAAAAGATTGGCACTTCAAGCGATAGTTTCCTATCATTTAGGCCTTGTGAGGTGACAACACAAAATGGCAGACAGCCCTCTCTTACCTTTTGAGGTCCAGTATATCTGGGCTGTCGTCAGGCAGCACGCGCAACCCCTTGCCGTATGAGGAGCCCCCATGCAGGTAGAAACCCAGGTGTTCCGTCTGATCAGACTGGCCAGAGTCATTGCTAGGCAACCGACTAGCCCCAGGAACTGCGTGTAGGTTGTATATCCGAAGGTATGACCCAGGCTAGCAGGAGGAGGGGTCAAATACGTGTTAGAAACATATGTCTCACTCCAACCCCTCTCAACTAATGAAGTATGTTGAATGCTTTGGCTGAAAATAGCACCTGTACATTGGAAATTGATGGGATGAGTCAAAGTGTTTCAGGATCCTTGGATTTGAGTCATCCAATGTTTTCCTTTTTGCCATGCCCAATTGTAAAAAATATTAAATGCAGTTGCAGTCTTCGCATCAGATGGAAATCAGCACCAGACATCTGTGACAGGGACTATTGGTCCCCATAGTGGTCAATCAATAATTTCACTGTTGCTGAATAACAAGCAGCAGGATGCATCAGTTTAATTTGACACTTCCAGCCAGAAGAGTGCGGTATGTTACCAAATCTAAACTTTCCCGGGATACCGAGACAAAATCAGGTTTAAGTAATTTAAAACAAGTATATCTCATCAAGGCTGTCTCATACAGTCACGACCAGCTTCAGGGTGACAGGAACCTGACTTCACCTCTCATGCTCCAGCTGTAAGTACAGGGTAGTAGAGTAGTAGGGGAGCACCGTTTCACTTTCCTGCTCATCAGGGGCTTTGTTCAGCTTCCGGCCATAACATGGGCTAGTATCATGCACCTATCTCTGTCGTAGCCGGCCGCGACCGGGAGACCCATGGGGGGGCGCACAATTTGCCAAGCGTCGTCCAGGGTAGGGGAGGGAATGGCCGGCAGGGATGTAGCTCAGTTGGTAAAGCATGGCGTTTGCAATGCCAGGGTTGTGGGTTCGATTCCCACGGGGGGCCAGTATGAAAAATAAAAAAATAATGTATGCACTCACTAACTGTAAGTCACTCTGGATAAAAGCGTCTGCTAAATGACTAAAATGTAAAAAAATTGTAAAATGTATCTAGTATCACTGGCCATATTTAAAGATGGCATACATTCCTTTAACATGTTCTTGGTTTTTTTGTAAATCGACTGCACAAAGCAGGCATTCCAAAGAACATTTATGGAATCGTGAGAGACTTCTAAGAATTGTATCCTCCACAGGGTGAAAAAAGCTAACCCAACAGCAGAGGAATTCATTCACAATCTCATTGCAAAGATGGGGGTGTCCAATGTTTAGTTAAGACACTGGCCGTACATTTTATTTGAGAGTTCTGTGAGTTGGCCACAGTTTTGTTTGTATTTAAATGCCAAAGATAGAAACAGGTGTTCGAGCCACAGAGTAAATGATGAATGCTCAGAGACTGGTGAGAGAACAGAGGAGGACAGTGAGACTGTAGAGAAAAGGGGGTGATGCTGCATGCCTCTGGTTCAAAGCATGCCAAGCCAAGCACTGCTGCTAACCTCAAAGCTGTTCCTGCCTTGCTACAGCTATTAAATCTACCATCCTCTGCCCAAAGTAGCCAGGTGTGGTTATAATGAGAACACATACTGAGCCAAGCGATGGGGGCTCTCTTTTGGCCAGTGACAGCCCTGGTTCGTTGATGCATTAGAGTGACGTTTTCTATCCGCTTAACAGTCATCGCCCAAAAATACATGTTCAAGTGAGTCTGTGTGACCAAACGTCATGAGCCAACCGACTGACATTTGAGATGTTTCCGCAGTGTCTCATTGTCCGAGTGACGCAATGATTGCTCAGTAAAGGATTCTCCAAATTCAGAAGATTGCTTTCGGCTTTACAGTTTCTCAATGAGTCAGGCTCAATAAACCAGACCAAACTTTAGCCGCCTGGCAGAGCGGGGAAAAAAACACCTAATTTCACACCAGCCTTTTTATAATAGAAGGAAACTAGAACCGGATGCTAGAAAGAGAGCTGACATTACTTAGTTACAGGATTCAGGGGTTGTGGGTGGGGAGTGGGGAGACTCACAGGAGGGGGGGGGGGGGGGGGGGAGTAGCACAATAAGTGTGGCTCATTGAGATTAAGCACTTCGATTAAAGTACAATGTTTGGGCTCTTGGCAGCCATTTTGTTAACACTTTTCTGTAAGGTAAACAAAGTCAGACAAAGTGTTCCCTAAGATACAAGATTAAGTCATATGAGGAAACAGTGCAGTGAAATTACACGTTTTTTTAACAAGAGCTGCCATAGTAATGAATGTGGTTTCAGACCACGCTCATGTGACAAGTAACCTTGTCTGAGACCTGAAGACTTGTGTAGACTCCCTGAACTAATGCCTTTAACTCAGCAGCCTAACACAGTCTCATGATAAGATGTGTGGCTAGCCAAGAGGCCACAGTGGTACAGTATAGTGGGAGGGGCCTCACTATCCGTAGACAGAAAGTGATCTCTCTGGTCAACATGCATGGTCCATGAAGGCTAAAGTGGTGGGACATTTACATAGAGTCGGCAGTTTATTCCCACTGTAGAGCAGGCCACATGTTCAAAGTTGTCCATGCACCCAGTCACGTAACTGACACGCTTTATTGCAACCTCATAAACCCAGGGTGAGGTAAAACACCAGTGCGAGAATGGAACTGAAATCCTGAACTTGAGACAGCCTGAGTCAAGAAAGGATACAACTACTAGGAGAGTTGCATTCTGGGAGCAGACCAATGGAACTAGGTAGAGTTTCGAGTTCTATTCTTCACATTGCAATTCTAATGAGCCTCAAACCCCCTCATCCCAACAATGAGTAAGTACCCTTCACAAAACAGCAATGATAGGAATCTGGAATCCCGGTGCTTCAATGACACCGCGACCTCTCCTGGTCCAGACACCAGGGTTCACTTCCTATAAAGCTCTGGGAGAAACACAAGGATGTCAAAGAAATCAAATAACGGAGCTCATGAAGGTGATTAAAACGCTTGTATGTGCCTGCCCCTAAAAAACACTGTATACACACACCCTTTACAAATGGGGGTATTTATACGGACACAGACCCATGCAAAGCAGCGCTCCCAATTTGTCATTTTATCCCCCCTTAAAGAACTCGATAAAAATGACTTCACAGAAGGCGAGCATGGCAGATCACATTGTTTTCACAGGCAAAGGGAGCGAGCGGTGTAATGAAGCAGAAGTGTGAACGATATTCTTTCTCAGAATGCTCTCGCCATTCGCAATTGCTTTTTAAAGCGTTAATCTCATTTTTCACCATTATACACTGTGTTCAATGAACAGGAAGCAAGGGCTATACACTGTGTTCAATAAACAAGAAGCAAGGGAAAGGAGGGGGGGGGACTGCATCCATTAAGTGCAGGGTCAGCTGTAAATAATCACCATAGGTTGTCCTCTGTACGTGTGTGTGTCTGTAGGTGAACATGGAAGGTCACTAGCTATTAAGGGACTAAACTCTGCCTATTTTCTGACTAAAAGCAATTGAACATGACCAACACCTTTAGCATTGAACTTTCCAGTTTATTTCAAATCCAGAAGTAGTTATCTCTCAGTGGAAAAATTATCTAGAAATAAAAATATATATACAGTTTCATCATAGCGCTTGATGGTTTTCGCGACTACACTTGAAGAAATGTTCAAAGTTCTTGAAATGTTCCATATTTACTGACCTTCATGTCTTAAAATAATGATGGACTGTTGTTTCTCTTTACTTATTTGAGCTGTTCTTGTCATAATATGGACTTGGTATTTTATCAAATAGGGCTATCTTCTGTATACCCCCATTACCTTGTCACAACACAACTGATTGGCTCAAACGCATTAAGGAAAGACATTCAACAAATTAACTTTTAAGAAGGCACACCTGTTAATTGAACCGCATTCCAGGTGAATACCTCATGAAGCTGGTTGAGAGAATGCCAAGAGTGTGCAAAGCTGTCATCAAGGCAAAGGGTGGCTATTTGAAGAATCTCAAATATAAAATATATTTTGATTTGTTTAACCCTTTTTTGGTTACTACATGATTCCATATGTGTTATTTCATAGTTTTGATGTCTTCACAATTTTTCTACAATGTAGAAAATAGTAAAAGTAAAGAAAAACCCTTGAATGAATAGGTGTTCTAAAACTTTTGACCGGTAAAATATATATATATATATATATATATATATATATATATATATATATATATATATATATATATATATATATATATATATATATATATATATATATATATATATATAGGATATTCTATCTAGGTTTTGCATGTGGCGGAATTGGACCAAGATGGTTGCGGTTTCAGCAGAAAGGGAAACTGGGAGATCCAGAGCAGAGCACTAGTACAGTGTTCGGGTTATCATCTGAGTGAGAGTTTGTGCTGAGAAAGAGAGAAAGAGACATGAGGAGAAAACTTAAGAAATGACAGAGGGATAGATGGAAAGGGATAGAGGGAATGGTAGAGAAGAGAGAAAGAGGGAACATGCAAAGGGATGGGATGAGTGCAGTAAGAGGGAGAGAGAAAGAGAGAGAAGAAGAGAGAGTGGAAGAGACCACGCTGGATAATACCATGTCATTTTCGGGTCTGATACGGCATGTTCCTCTTTCTGGTCTAAGGACATACAAACATACAGCTGGATTTGCATGATCCCACAGTATCATGACTTTGTGGTCAATGTCACTGGACCCTTCCAAGCAGATTAATGAGGCTGGGGATCCAAATCGGTCCTGCACTTCAGACAAAGCACAAAAGATCTGCCAGTCCCCTGCATGCATAGCTCAATGTACTGTAATGTTAAAAAGTAGGTGACACATATATGATAACCAGATACCCCCATGCATATGGTCTGCAATGCATAAGAAGTATAGTTATGACGCATCAGTTGTGTACTATATGATGAATGTGTGCACGTAGGGGTCAATAAGAGTGTGTGTTAACAGTGCCATTGAAAGCTAGAGGCCCCATGTTGTCTCACTGTGTGGTGATATATCTGTTTGAGTGTGTGGAGAATAGAATGTGGTAACCAGACTGCAACTGAAAGCACCCTGCTGTTTTAGCAGTGTTGTGTGTGTGTGTGTGTCAGAGACACCATGCTGTTTTAGCAGTGTCGTGTGTGTGTGTGTGTGTGTCAGAGACACCATGCTGTTTTAGCAGTGTCGTGTGTGTGTGTGTGTCAGAGACACCCTGCTGTTTTAGCAGTGTCGTGTGTGTGTGTGTGTCAGAGACACCCTGCTGTTTTAGCAGTGTCGTGTGTGTGTGTGTGTCAGAGACACCCTGCTGTTTTAGCAGTGTCGTGTGTGTGTGTGTGTCAGAGACACCCTGCTGTTTTAGCAGTGTCGTGTGTGTGTGTGTGTCAGAGACACCATGCTGTTTTAGCAGTGTCGTGTGTGTGTGTGTGTGTGTGTGTGTGTGTGTGTGTCAGAGACACCATGCTGTTTTAGCAGTGTTGTGTGTGTGTGTGTGTGTGTGTGTGTGTCAGAGACACCATGCTGTAAGGGTGACCACAGGGAAACCATAACGGAGGCGGATCGATTGGTCACTTTTCATTCTCCTCCCCACCTCCCCTTTCTCATTTTCCTTTATCCTAATAACCTCCTTTCTTCTCTAACTAGCCATCTTCTCAATAGCCGGCTCTGCCAATTTCACACACTATTACTGACGATTCGCCAGAGGAGATTGATAAATGGGGAAATATTTCTATTCACACTTATCTGCCCTGAAAAGGCTTTATTTGGGAGGGTGAATCGATTGATAAGCATGAAATTACTCCTGTCAAAGAAATCCTCTTTCATTTAAGAGGCTATGATATTAAATACTGTATTCCACCTAATCAGAGTTGGAGTAAGTCTGAGATAACTGGAGAATGTGTGAAGACAAAATCAATTGTCTTACAGTGTAAAAAAAAAGAAAGAAAAAAAAAAAAGTGTTGAGGATAACATTTTGTTTTGACCTTCTTTTCTCCCAGTTACAACGAAAAGACAGAAATACAAAATTGTTAAACTTTTTATTATGGTATCCACATAGGATTTGTGTCTGCGTGTGTGTATCAAATGAACGTTTATTGATTGCATACACAGTTTAGCAGATGTTTTAGCAGGTGCAGCTAAATTCTTGCGAGTGTGTGTGTAGCATAGGTCATCTCTCTGCTGTCACATGGGTAATATTTTTTTCCATGATGAGGGACAGTTAGGCCAGTGGACAGCAGTGATGGGTGGTTCACCACAATACATAACAGATACATAATCCCTCTTCTGTATCAGAAGCAGGTAGCCGACTAAGTGAAAAATCGGTCAATGTGCCCTTGAGCAAGGCACTTAACCCTAATTGCTCCTGTAAGTCGCCCTGGATAAGAGCTGCTAAATGATCAAAAAATAATAATTGAAATAATTTGCACACATGTACAATAACCACACACAGTGAGATTAATGACAAATATGATTTAGTGAAGTAGTATTGGAACAGAAGAACTCTTAATTTAAAGTGCCATTTAACAGTTTTGTCTTCTCATCCTTAATAAAATAGCACAATGTGAAACTGCTTCTTCTTAATCAAGAGAGCTTTGACTTTAGCTACACATAACACAACATGTTACTCATTGCATTGGTCTAGGCTAGGGGCTGTTGATGGAGTTAACACCAATGTGTCCTACAGATGACCCCGATGTGTCCTACAGACGAGAGGTTGAGTGGGTGTGGACAGGCCACCCTGGTGACAAGAGGAATCTTGTCGGAGGGGGTTAACAAATGATACAATTATGCAACCATATGCTAATAGCGCCTATCTCCACTGATAAGGATGATCGCTAAGGCAGAGGATCAAAGCTTTGCTGATTCTGTCAAGCAGAAAGACAGAATTATACATTCAAAGGAAGGGTGGAGAAGGAGAAGGAGAGAGAGTAAGAAATGGAACGTGTGAGAAAGCGATGCATATTGTAGCATTTTAAATATTCATCGCTATTATAGTCAGCAGGGGAAATGAGAAGAAAGTAAAACAGATTTGCCTGAGGCGCTGCAAAAAGCAAAGAACTCAAGAGTTTGTATTTTGAAGGAGAACACAGTGAACTATTAGAAGACGAGAGAGAGAGAGAGAGAGAGAGAGAGACAGACAGAAGGTCAAACTGCATCGTTGATTTAGGGCACGACTCAGCAGAAACAGCCCGTGGCAAAACCTTCAGGTGTTGACGTAGTGACAGGGCACTAATACTTTATTTTAAAAATGTACCTCCCCTCCCCTCTATCTCTGTGTAATCACACAGCCATGTAAGTCTACCGTCACGGACTGGTAGGCCTGTATTTCAAAGTCAAACCACTGGATTGATGACGAGCACAAAGGACCTGATGTGGTTTTCTGTCCCACATTGCTGAGCAACAGTGAGTCATGTGACCTCTCACCTTCAACTGCCGGGAGACCTCTACATGGTTGTCGTAGACCAAGACGTTGGCTGTGAGGTTTGCTATGTCCTTGGACAACGTGGGACTTCCTTCAAGAGTGTTGGGCTCCACAAACACATCCAGCAGGGGGTGAGGGCACTTTGATCCGTCCCAAACCTGGAGAAAGAAAAGGAAAAGGTTGATAATTTTGAACTTCCACAGAGAGGGAGAGAGAGAGAAAGAGTGAACGAGATGGAGAGCCAAAAACTGAAGAAGAGGAAGACAACACAACAACTACAGAACAAGTCAACGACTCAAGTTGTCAACTGCCATACAAATGTCTATGGGTAAAAAATGAAAGAATGAGCTAGAAAGTGTGAACAAATAAAAAGAGGGCATCACAAGATGGCCCCCCCAGACACTAGTAATCTTTACCGCAAATGTCACGTTGTCATCCCAAAACAGGCGGGTCATGGGCTTCCAGTTCTGTGGTTTATCACGGCGTCATTACCCACAATAAGGCTCTTATGTAAACATATATGACTATTATTAAACTGAGTGCAGTGGCATCCCAATGAGGACATATTCCCTGAGGGTTGACACGGCTCCTACCTCATAATGAGTATGTTCTTTGGCATAAAGCGTCAACACTCACAACCGCATCATTGTATTAAGCCCATGTCTTTTCAAGTCCTCATATATATTTCAAACTGTATAAGCAGGGAGATGAAGCGCTCGCAGAGATAAGTTGAAAAGAGAAATAAAGCATCTTCCCTGCCTTAGCCACAAACTGTTAAGAGGGATGCTCATAGACATACACTAGGCTAAATCACAGACCGTCTTTCTTATCATTATGCTTTGCTAAATGTCTGAAACGTTTTATTCACTGTACAACAAGGTAGCCAGCCGATGACCAAAATATCACGTTTTCCATTGGATTTCCAGAGTTTCCTAGCTACCTGATTCAATACAATAAAACAAACTGACGGGTCTAGACAGTCGCTAAAGAAGAGTAAAAAGGTTCTTCCTGGTTCTTACCTTCAACAGGGTGCAGCTGCTGTCCACAGGGGCTTTAGCCAGCAGTTGGCAGGTCAGGTCAAAGTAAGTCTTGGGCTGTACTGCCGACAGGGGTACACAGGGCACAGCAGGGACCAGAGACTGGTTGGCTGCCCACGTGCGCAGGGCCTCCACGGCCTGGCAATCTTCCTCCCCAAATTTGAAGGACCCACTGGAGGTACGAGGGACCACAGGGCTGCCCACCGTCCCGTCAAAGGTGACCACGGAGAAACCATGGCTGGTCAAAAGGCTGATGGCTCCATTAAAAAGCTGGGTCTGAGAGAGAAAGAAATGGAGCTTTGTGAACCTCTATCTGGATAATCTCAAACATTCCAGCAAGGCTCACATCCTAAATATCAGTTCATTTCAAATTACAATAAGGTCAGAATCAATCTTGGGCAAGCACAGTAAAAGAGTGCTCCTGAGTGGCGCAGTGGTCTAAGGCACTGCATCGCAGTGCTAACTGTGCCACTAGAGATCCTGGTTCGAATCCAGGCTCTGTCGCAGCCGGCTGCGACCGGGAGACTCATGGGCGGCGCACAATTGGCCCAGCGTCGTCCAGGGTAGGGGAGGGAATAGCCAGCAGGGATTTTAGCTCAGTTGATAGAGCATGGCGTTTGCAACGCCAGGGTTGTGGGTTCGATTCCCACGGGGGGCCAGTATAAAAAAAAAAAATATGTATTCACTAACTGTAAGTCGCTCTGGATAAGAGCGTCTGCTAAATGACGTAAATGTAAATGATGCTGAGACTAAGATTTTTCACTTAAAAATCATGTCAACCAAAAACCAATGATTGCAAAGTTAAACAAACCATACAACTCTACGCACAAGGATGACCTTTCACAATTTCCTCAGATAATTTTACAGATACAAAGTTTGGTAACAGAATGACGGCACCAACAGCACAAACCGTCATTCTGTTACCAAACTTTGCGTCGGCACTGTTCTTCAAGTCATTTTTTATTTATTTTATTTTTTCCGTTAAAAGTAGTCCTTGTGGCCTCCCGAGTGGTGCAGTGGTCTAAGGCACTGCATCGCAGTGCTTGAGGCGTCACTACAGACCCGGGTTCGATCCCAGGCTGTGTCACAGTTGACAGTTGACTGGGAGACCCATGAGGCAGTGCACAATTGGCCCAGCGTCGTCCGGGTTAGGGGAGGGTTTGGCCGGCTGGGATTTTCTTGTCCCATTGCGCTCTAGCGACTCCTTGTGGCGGGCCTGGCGCCTGCAAGCTGACCTCGGTCGCAAGCTGGATGGCGTTTCCTCCGACACATTGGTGCGGCTGGCTTCCGGGTTAAGCGAGCAGTGTGTCAAGAAGCAGTGCGGCTTGGCAGGCTCGTGTTTCGGAGGACGCATGGCTCTCAACCGTCGCCTCTCCCGAGTCTTTAGGGGAGTTGCAGCGATGGCACAAGACTGTAACTACCAATTGGATATCCCAAAATTTGGGAGAAAAAGGGTTAAAAGTAAAAAAAAGTAATATTGTGCATAGAGTTGAATGGTTTGTTTAACTTTGCAATCATTAGTTCTTGTTTGGCATACATTTTAAAAAGTGTAAAATCTGAGTCTCGGCATCACTCATTTACATTTTTGTCATTTAGCAGACGGTCTTATCCAGACCGACTTACAGGAGCAATTAGGGTTAAGTGCCTTGCTCAAGGGCACATTGACAGATTGTTCACCTAGTCGGCTCAGGGATTCGAACCAGCGACCTTCCGGTTGCTGGCCCAAAGCTCTTAACCGATAGGCTACCTGCCGATCACACATTTACCTTGACTCTGTGTAGGCGTATGATGTCTCCCATTTTGAAGATTTTAGGGTGTTCCTCAAGCTTGTCACAAAAGATGGTACAGCCCACTTTTTTATTTGATTGGTCTGTAATCTTCAGTGTGGAGCAGTAATCTATTGGGGATAGAAGTCAGGACCACTGTCAGATCAAATTCCAGATATGGCCTATCCAACAAGACAGTCTGATGAATACTGAGACGGGCCCTAGTATGCACATCTTATTGCAATGTGATTTGAGACATCCCAAAATGGTTGCTTGCTTTAAACATACTTTGACGTTGGCTTTCAAAGGCAATGTCTGTTCTCAACCTTCTTATGCTGCCTTTCTAATGCAGTGTTTCTCAACTCTGGTCCTTAATACCCTCAACGGAACGCATTTATTTTGGAGCCCAGACAAGCACACCTGATTAAACTAGTCATCAAACCCTTGACTACTTGAATCAAGTGTGTTTATTCGGGTCTACAACAATGTGTACTTTTGGGGGTACTCGAGGACTGGAATGCCGAAAAACAGTGCTCTATTGGAAGTGATTTGTCTCATTTAAATTACAAGGGCCATTGAATGCTGCAATAGAGGTCCACCCGCAAAGACAATTTGATTGTAGAGCTTGTCTGAAATGCTGTTTGTGCAAAGCAGCACACAACAGTACACAATGTAAGAAAGACACTCACCGGACAGTTTATTCATGAAAATGGATCGCTCCTACAGACAGTGAGTCACGTTGCCGTGGCTTGCTATATAAAGCAGGCAGACAGGCATCGAGGCATTCAGTTACTGTTTGATTGAACGTTAGAATAGGTAAAACGAGGACCTAAGCGACTTCGAGCGTGGTATGATCGTCGGTGCCAGGCGCGCCAGATCCAGGATCTCAGAAACGGCCGCCCTCCTGGGCTTTTCACACACGACAGTGTCTAGGGTTTACCGAGAATGGTGCGACAAACAAAAAAAATCCAGTCTGCAGCAGTCCTGTGGGTGAAAACAGCTTGTTGATGAGAGGTCGAAGGAGAATGGCAAGAATTGTGCAAGCTAACAGGCTGGCCACAAACAGGCAAATAACAGCGCAGTACAACAGTGGTGTGCAGAACGGCATCCCGGAACGCACAACTCGTTGGTCCTTGTCATGGATGGGCTACTGTAGCAGACGACCACACCGGGTTCCACTCCTATCAGCAAAAAACAAGAAGAAGCGGCTTCAGTGGGCACGCGATCACCAACGCTGGACAATTGAGGTGTGGAAAAACATAACCTGGTCTGACGAATCCCGGTTCCTGTTGCGTCATACTGATGGCAGAGTCAGGATTTGGCGTAAGCAGCCTGAATCCATGGACCCATCTTGCCTGGTGTCAACGGTACAGGCTGGTGGCAGTGGTGCATCGCCGTCCAATCTGCAGCAACTGCGTGATGCCATCGCGTCAGCATGGACCAACATCTCTGTGGAACGTTTCCGACTTGTAGAATCCATGCCCCAAAGAATTCAGGCTGTTCTGGAGGCAAAGTGGGGTCCGACCCGGTACTAGATGGATGTACATAATAAACGGTATATAATAACACTAGGTTTCTATGCCGAGGGGTGGTAAGGGGTCATCTGGCTAACACTTAACTCTCAGTATTCTCTTCGCTGTGTAGTCAAGTGGGTAGCGTCAGCCAGCCAAGCGGCTCATCCATCTGCCACCCCCACTGTGTCTCAACAGATGGATTCTCTTAATATCTCCCTTCTAACTGCTGCCACTAGGATTCAGTAGCATGACAATACATGGTCAGTTAATGCTGTCCTACGAACACTGCTGTTTTATTTATTCACTCATTACTCAATCCAGTTTGGCTTAAGGGGGAACTCTTTGTATGAGGCTCCCACAAACAAAAAGGACCCAAGGTACAGTTTGCAGGCGTTGGGAGACACACTAGAAAATGTGAATTGGAAAGCCATGGACTTATTACTGTCATTCATTATTGAGCTCTTTCTTTCATTACGGTACATACCGAGACAAGAGTGGCTCAGAGATTACTACTAACAGACTGTCCCCTCAGGTCAAACTCTAGGCATAAATGACTTGGCTCGTGAATGTCGTGCTCCTCAAATAATATCAAGTTTGTTTTGCTTGCTATGTAAACGCCTCGTGAAAATAAGCAGAGCAAACCCCTGACAACAGAAGAATAATTATTTTGTAAGGTACTTCCACATAAAATGGTAAACGTTGCAAGTTGGATCACGCACAGATTACAGCTTTGCAAAGCATTAATACACGCTTTGCTCAGGCCCCATTTTCCCATCAACTATACTTAAGCAATAAGGCCAGAGGGGGTGTGGTATATGGCTAATATACCATGGCTAAGGGCTGTTCTTATGCACGACGCAACGCGGAGCCCTTAGCCATGGTATATTGACCATATACCCCGAGGTGCCATATTGGTATTATAAACTGGTTACAAATGTAATTAGAGCAGTAAAAATAAATGTTTTGTCATACCTGTGGTATATGGTCTGATATACCACGGCTGTCAGCCAATCAGCATTCAGGGCTCGAACCACCCAGTTTATAATTGCGATTTTGTCATTTGCATCACAGGCACTTGCATTCAAAATGGATATTTCATGCAGAGTTTTCCCTCCGGACATTCTGGGCCACTGATTCAATTGGACAAGATGGCCCAGCACAGTGTACAGTACATCAAAATCAAGTCCGATATCTACAGGGTCGGTTGAGTGGGATGAGGATTGATTTTTCACCACTTTATGTCAGCTTGCATGACAAGATCTAATGCTCGATCAATGCTTAGGGTGTGTTAAGGCAGAGATTAACTACACAAGGACACAGTGACTCAGTGACTGTGGTTTAATCCAGGCTGCTGTAATTTACTTTGTAATTTGTGTTTGTATTGTACAATTTAAAAAGTAATTGGTTTTGAATAGTAGCAATAAAGAGCAGACACTGTAAATGTTGAGTATCCGGTTGTTCTGTTCTGGAGATTATTATTGGACAACCATAATAAAACCATTGGCGATAAAAGAGTTAAAGAGTAGCTAGAGATGAAGAATATTAGGTGGATATGAAAGGGGGAGAGAAGGAGAGGAGAAGGAGGAGAGGAGGGGAGAAGAGGAGAGGGGGAGAGGAGGGGAGAAGAGGGGGAGGGGGAGAGGAGGGGAGAAGAGGAGAGGAGAGGGGGGAGAGGAGAGGAGAAGAGGAGAAGGGGAGAGGAGAGGAGAAGAGGAGAAGGGGAGAGGAGGGGAGAAGAGGAGAGGGGGAGAGGAGGGGAGAAGAGGAGAGGGGGAGAGGAGGAGAGGAGGAGAGGAGAGGGGGAGAAGAGGGGAGAAGAGGAGAGGGGGAGAGAAGGAGAGGAGAGGGGGAGAGGAGGGGAGAAGAGGGGGAGGAGGAGAAGATGAGGGGAGAAGAAAGGAGTCAGAGAATAGGGGGAGGGGGAGAGGAGGGGAGAAGAAAGGAGTCAGAGAATAGGTGCCATGAGGACAGGAGGGACAGAAAGGAGTCAGAGAATAGGTGCTATGAGGACAGGAGGGACAGAAAGGAGTCAGAGAATAGGTGCTATGAGGACAGGAGGGACAGAAAGGAGTCAGAGAATAGGTGCTATGAGGACAGGAGGTACAGAAAGGAGTCAGAGAATAGGTGCTATGAGGACAGGAGGGACAGAAAGGAGTCAGAGAATAGGTGCTATGAGGACAGGAGGGACAGAAAGGAGTCAGAGAATAGGTGCTATGAGGACAGGAGGGACAGAAAGGAGTCAGAGAATAGGTGCTATGAGGACAGGAGGGACAGAAAGGAGTCAGAGAATAGGTGCTATGAGGACAGGAGGGACAGAAAGGAGTCAGAGAATAGGTGCTATGAGGACAGGAGGGACAGAAAGGAGTCAGAGAATAGGTGCTATGAGGACAGGAGGGACAGGCTAGGACAGAGTATGTTCGTATAACAGCATCAGAGCGAGGTTCCCCTACCTCGGACAACCACTCTGCTTGCCCTTCTGCGCTTTCTAAAGCTCCTCAGCAAGGTTTTTTTCTGTGTGAACAAACCTCGCCACACTGCCTGACTCCAGGCAAGGGCAGCCCAGTTAAAAGGCAGTCGCAGCACTTCCAAGTCAAAGGTTGCGAGTCGAAGGGCTGAGCAACACCACAAGGACTCATATGTACCCTGTGATGTTGGGTGCTTAGAGAGAGGGTGCAGAGAGAGGTCCTCTTATTCCCATTGCCAGCCTCCACCTCACCTCCCCCTCCCGCCAAACACTACGCCTCTACAAACGCTTGTTTAATGAGATAACAGTACAGTAACCCCCACCCAACCTACCCTGGATGACACCACCTACAGACACACCAACAAACCCCTTATTATCTCGGAGCAGCAGGTCAGGGGGTCCAGTAGTCATAGCAACCAGCCTGTTGGTTGAATATGGACTTCAAAGTGCTTTGCTGAGTAGGAAGTGTGTCCTTTTCTGTCTGAAAAGTATGTTAGCACAGAGCCAACACCTTGAACTGAGCTCAACATGGGGCTGGTGGAATATTATCATATTTGTCTATACCATGTTAGTGCATTTGCAGGGCAAGTTGACCTACCTGTCCCCTTGGTCCGGAATGGCTGCTTGAAGAAGGTGACCACAGCGTAGACGTTCACCACTACCCCAGGCGTCAGGTCGCTCAGTGGGGCGTAGGTATACTTAACCACCTTCGCTGCCTTAGTGACCTGAAGACAAACACTACTACATTACCATTCAGGATCGGACAACAATTTAAGTAAAGAGAGAATGTCTATTTGTAAATGACTTGAGAGAGAACAACGGTCAGTAGTAGAGACTGGATATGAAACATAAGGTCAGTCCCTAAATTGATCGGTTTGACAGAGTAAAACTGTTTTGGGATCAGTAAGAGTGATTTAAGTGGAAGGGCCATAGGCCAGCTATTTTACATGTATTCAGTATCAAAAGATCATACAAAACATGACACACGCAGGTTCACATTGGGATAACCATCTGATGACATGTGAATCTTCTGACAGCCTCCATAAAACCAAGGTCTTTGAGCTAATGAGGTCACAGACTGACCTCAGTGCTGACTGGAGAGGTTCTTTTGCTGGGTACAAATGCTCTCAGGCTTACAGTAGATGGCCACACCTAGGACACAGAGAAATGCACTTCAGGAAACTAGGGGTCACATTTTATTAAACCCTTCCCTTAATTATCAAACAACGTAGGAACCCATTCCCTGAATATGTACTCACATACACCCAGGCATCATCTCCAGCCAGCTGCAGGTTACAGGCATGGAGCTTGTCTTTGTGAGCTGTGGGAGACTTGCCCACAGTGAAGCCAGCCACCAGCAGCACGTCCTGGGGGAACAAACACATGCAGCAGAGACAGAGAGAGGAGATATAACACCACCTCCCCCAAAAAATAAACCAGTGTAAAATAGGTTTAATATAGGTCAATGCTATCCGGGATCCTTGGGATGTCCCTACCCTAAATCCTACCCTAACATTAACCATAACCCTTCCCTAACCATTTTAAATTTCAACTTTAATGGGGGGTAGGGAAGTCCCAAGGATCCCGGATAGCACGGACCGTTTAATATAGCAGAAATATCAGCTTGTGAGTAATATGCTACACTCAAAATAGAGATAAGCCAGTTGTATTTTTCTTGGGGAGCAGTGTGTGACTGTCCTCCAAACGGTTTAACAGTGTTCTCTGACATAACTCAAACAGCAGACAAAGGGAAGGGAGAGATACAAAGGAATCATGTTACAGTGGATTACACAAACCACTGTTTGACAAGAGTACTCTACAGCCATGATAGCCAATCCCTTTTCCCGCTACGTCTGCTCAGAATGTGATATTCTTCTCCTCTCAGGGGTGTTCTGAGACAATAGGTCAGTCATGTCTAACACTGGTGCATCACTCAGCTCATTCAGCTTCCTGTTTGTGCATTGGTCTTAAACGACGTGGATGCCTGAATCCTATCACTGGTTTTGAGTGTCATTTTATCCAGGTTAATAGAAAGATTTGCTGATCTGTCACCACCGTTACAGAGCATGTCAACACTGTTACAGAGAGAGCATGTGGGATGTCAACACTACTACAGACTAGAGGACGTAAATAACCAAAATGACTAACATCCTGTGCCTTTGCACTTAACAAGGGTTTCTCTGATCCTCAGACTCTGAATAGCATCCCTAAAATCAAACTGCAGACTTAATCTACTTCAATGTAGACGATAATTGCATAAGAACTCTCTCCACAAGGAAGACGCTCCATCTCATTGGGAGTGTTACAATTTTGATCACAAACACTACGCCTCTGACTAGAGCTCTGATCTGCGTGCTACAGCAGCTAACGCTCCAATCATCTCTTCGAGGATTATCCCCCTCCTAAAAGCAAAGAAATGCCGTCTTGTCACATGCTTCATGCTTATGCACAGCACCTTTTGACGCATGATGTTGTGGATATGTGACGACCAAAAGAGAGAAAGAAGGCTGGGATGAAAGCTGGTTTGTGAGCAAAAAAGAAAGAGAACCCATTGTTTCCCAGCACAAAGTGGGCCAAGAATCACAATTCAACACAATTCTGTTTATTCCTTTGACTGAAAACCCTAAACAAAAGACTAAAGGCGCGTCTGTCTTTTCTGACAAGAATCCATTGCGTGCCTTCAAAGGGTTGGTAAAACAAATGCATTCGAGGCTAAGCATTCAGGTACAATATGTAACTGGGGATATGCATTCAGTTACAAGTGAATAACAAAATGCAGTGTTATATTCTGTCAGAGAACACATCCACCTACACCATTACATTCCAATTCAGATTTTTGTACCCAGACCTCATGAAGTGCAAATCAGGACCATGATACTTTCAAGTGCCCTTACACATGAATGCAACCAGATCTTTATTTATTACACTTTGTTTGAGATCCTATAGGGAATGGTAGGAGACCTACCCCTTGACTGACGGATTCGGAGTAGTCCTTCGCCAGCGCACCAAACAGGATGACATTGATGGACGAGTGATCTGGGGACATGTCCTGTTGGGAGTCTTCTTCTGACGGAGGCAGAAGGTAGTGTACACATGCAGCAAATTAGACAGATGCAAGACATATACAGAAAATACCTCAGAGCCTGTAAGGCTTTATAAGGGTATTCTCTTATTAGGGCTACAGTTCAATTAATGTCACCTAACTCCAATTTCGAAATTGGGTAGTGCGTAATCAGTTTTCCTCTTGTCATGTCAGTCATTGCATCTCTTAGAGAGCTATTTAGAACTTGTCAGAAACGTCCAGATCAACTAGCCCATGTCAGCTAAAGTTTTTTAGCCTATAGATTTTGTAGTAATTTTTGAGTTATGGCAAAATGTATAGAATTGCAAGAAAATGAGCTTTAAAACTGCAAAATGTTCTCTACACGCCATGACAAAATGTGTAGAATTGCAGTAAATAAGCTTTAAACCTGCAACATATTCTCTCCGCCAACAAGAGGGGTGTGAACAGTGTGTCATGAACACTGCTTTTGACCAAATAAATCGACCGCTCTGGGTTGTGGAAATGTCAGCAGAAAAACACATAAAAAGTGAAAAACATAATAAAAAAATAGTACTGATAATTCTGAGTCACAACTAACAGTTGGTGTGGTAATACAATTAATACACAAGACAAAGAAACAAGGCATATTTCACACTTGCCCCAGAGAAACAGGGCAATATTTCAAATGGGTTTGAAGTACTGTATTAACAAGCGAGATAACTCTCTCTGAATAAGCAGTGCTGCTGTATGAATGTTCATCATAATGCAGAGGGATAAGTGTAGCATGGCCGACACAACAAAGAAGAAATTGCCTTTTTCAACAATCCTATTAAGATCCATTCCAGCTGAACGGCTTACAGTGGGAATGAGACAATCGAGCCAGCTGAGATCTAACACAGCGAGCTACATGCCCTCCAAGGAAACTCAACCAATGCGTGATTGGGCAGTCACTCCTTCATTGTATATGCCTACATCATTCTAGGCCTACATGTTTTCTCATATACAATACCTTGAATCACAGTCTTCAGGACATAGTTGTCTTCTCCCATGGATACCAATGGCCCTTTGTGAACTACTCTCCCCTGGCAGAATAGCAGAAAAATACAAAACTTTAGATGAATGGTAAAACATTTACATCGATTAGTGTTTTATATGCTGCCACTATAGTCATATCGGTCAAGTCCTAACTTCATACAAATCTTTTCACAAGTCAATTAGCACATAACTCCCTTAGACGGAAAATGGAGGAGGGGGAGTGAATTTGTTGTTACTTGCTTTGCCTGCTTTACAATTATCTGCCCATAGTGTACTTGGAAGAAGGATAAGGTAAAAAAAATAAAACTTTTAAAAACTGTGGAGAAACGAAAGAGGTACATGGATAAATAGACCGAGAGAAAGGAGTGTGAAAACAAGAAAGCAGGCACTGGAGGATAGGAGCGAGAATGCAAGAAAGGGAGAAGAGAGGGATTTCTGGAGATATAAGAAAGGAAGGGAAGGGAAGAGTGATGGAAGGGTTTGACCTGACCGAGACACACCTTCACAGTCTTGCCAGTGCAGTCTGAGGTAGGGCAGAGGAGTGGAATGGAGATCCTCTGGGGTTGAGCGGGAACCTGGGTGCTGGGACCGGCCCCGTCCTTGACCACATGGACAGGCATGCCTTCAAGAATACCTGATGAAAAACATAAATTTACATTTTAGTCAATTAGCAGACGCTCTTATCCAGAGCGACTTACAGGATAAATTAGGGTCAAGTGCCTTGCTCAAGGGCACATCGATTTTTTACCTAGTCGGCTCAGGGATTTGAACCAACAACCTTTTGGTTACTGGCCCAACACTCTTAACCGCTAGGCTACCTGCCGCCCATACAGTATGTAGCCTATTAACACAGAGATAACAGATACATCTGTTTAAAAACATTGGCCTACTATGTAATGGCTAAACTTCAAAAGATAACTGATGCATCAAGAAGCATTTTACCAGGTAAGTTGACTGAGAACACTTTCTCATTTACAGCAACGACCTAGGGAATAGTTACAGGGGAGAGGAAGGGGGATGAATGAGCCAATTGGAAGCTGGGGATAATTACATTGGGAATTTAGCCATGACACCGGGGTTAACACCCCTACTCTTACGATAAGTGCCATGGGATATTTAGTGACTACAGGGAGTCAAGACATCCGTTTAACGTCCCATCTGAAAGACGGAGTCCTACACAGGGCAATGTCTCCAATCACTGCCCTGGGGCATCAGGATATTTTTTATTTTAGAACAGAGGAAAGAGTGCCTCCTACTGGCCCTCAACATCACTCCCAGCAGCATCTAGTCCCATCCAGGGACCAACCAGGACGAACCCTGCTTAGCTTCATAGGCAAGCCAGCAGTGGGAAGCAGGGTGGTATGCTGCTGGCATATCACAAAAGCCTTAGGAGAGGTGTTTTAGATGCATTCCCAGCAGGTGCTAGATTGTTACCTGTCAGTGTGAGTACTTGTTTGTTTTGGAGGTATTTGACTGGTGCATCCGACTCCCACAGTGCTACATTGTGTGCCCACCAACGGCAGAATAAGAAGAACAGCCTTGGAGGCAGCCAGTCAGTTAACCATTTAGTCAGTCAGAATTAAAGATTTTCCTTCCAATTTCGACAAGGGGGAAGGAGCCACAGGCACAAACATGTGAGCCCGCTAGGAGGCTCATTGTACCTAGATCTGTCAATTGCTTACTTTTGAAAAAGCGTTCCGACTTAACCAAGAACATCTCAATTTTATCTATAAATCACTCACGGTCACAACTCTCTCTAGGGCAGTCTTTGACATCCTCTCTCCATGTAAAACTAAAAGAGGATAGTCTGGCTCTTGGCTCTCTCCATGTGCATCTTACCCTCAGAACAGCGGCAGTGACACAGTGGGGTTGAGGAGGGGTAGAGAGGCACCAGCTGTAAATACCACCCACAGCCCTGGAGCTTGGTGCCAGCCTGTACCCAGTGAAATGGCAGACGCTCTGGCCTAGGCCCAGCGGTGGAGAGACAGCTGCCTCACCCGTTCCTCAGTCTCCAACCCCCAGCCCTGCCTGGCTCCTTCAAACCACAAGGCGCTCATTAAGTAGAGGCTAATTCCAGTTCAGCCAAACAAATGATTGATGGAGAGGTTTAAATGGCTGAATCATGCTGGAGAATGAGGGAGAAATATTGGCTACTATGGGTTTGTAGGTTAGTACATTCCAGTGTTCTGTAGCGGTTGACCAACTGAGTGATATTGAGGACCAAATTAGACGTAAACTACACTACATTACATAATGCTCTCCTGAACTGAACACTCCCAAGCAGGACCTCAATATTGAGAGTGGATAAGTTCCCAGATGTCCATTATCATTGGCCAATGGTTAGACTATATTAGTCACGCGTAAACAAGCTAACAGCCTTTGGCGCTGCCATCTTCCAGGGCCCTGCTTCATGCCTCCACTGAATATTAGCAGAGGAGTCATTTATCAAGGGGCTCAAGAATTATTATCATTATTTAATTTTTTTAGAAGGTGGATCAGCAAATAGATTGTGGCTTCTATCAATGTAATTGTCTGGATCATTTTGAATCCCCTATATATATATATATATATATATATATATATATATATATATATATATATATATATATATATATATATATATATATATATATATATATATATATATATATATATATATATATATACACACACACACACACACACACACACACACACACACATACATACAGTTGAAGTCAGACGTTTACATACACTTAGGGCTCCCGAGTGGCGCAGCGGTCTAAGGCACTGCATCTCAGTGCTTGAGGCGTCACTACAGACCCCCTGGTTCGATTCCAGGCTGTATCACAACCGGCCGTGATTGGGAGTCCAAAGCGACTTACAGTCATGTGTGCATACATTTTTACGTATGGGTGGTCCCGGGGATCGAACCCACTACCCTGGCGTTACAAGCGCCATGCTCTACCAATTGAGCGACAGAGGACCACAATACATGGTATCTACAGATGGGGACTGGCACACAAAGTTTCCTTGTATGCAGATGACTTGGTTTTATATATCTCAGACCCTGAAGCGTGTGTCCCTGAGGTAGTGGACCTACTGCGTAGGTTTGGTGTTTTCAGGTTATACATTTAATTTCTCAAAAAGTGAATGTTTTCCTATTAAAGAATTAGCATTACAAATTCCACGGAATATTATTCCATTTCGTATGTCCAAGTCTGGCTTTAAATATTTAGGGATCAATATCACCCGTACCTTGTCTTCCCTCCATGATGAGAACTTTACTCCCCTGATTAGCAAACTTAAAGTGGACTTTCAGAGATGGAGTATTCTCTATTTTACTTTAGCTGGTAAAGTGAATTGTATCAAGATGAATGTATTGCCCAGATTTCTGTATTTGTTCCAATGTCTCCCTCTTTTTTTTTTTTACCAAAGTCTTGCTTCACTTCAGTGGATAAGCTTATATCTTTATTTTTTATGGGGCGGTGGGAATCCAAGAATACGTAAAGTATTCCTCCAGAGAGATAGAACACACGGAGGACTAGCCCTTCCTAACTTTATGTTTTATTACTGGGCAGCGAATATACAAAAGATTGTTTACTGGCTTCACACCCCAGGAACTGATTGGTGTCAAATAGAAGCCAACTCCTGTTTCTCTTCCTCTTTGTCAGCTTTAGTCACCTCCAATCTTCCTCTTTCAGCTTCGCCCTACACATCCAATCCAACTGTTGTCAATACTCTTAAAATTTGGACTCAAATCCATCAACCATTCTGTGATTTCTCTATTCAAGGTCCTATATGTAATAATCACCTCTTCCTTCCAGGCAAACTGGATTCAGCTTTAAGGCTGTGGCAGAGGAATGGCCTTACTAAGTTTAATGACCTTTATATTGATAGCACCTTTGCTAATTTCGAAGACCTCGCTATCAAATTTATTTTACCACATTCAAGTTTATTTAGGTATTTCAAAATCTGCCAGTTTATTCCCACTCAAAGCCCAACCTCGGGTCTGGATGCCCTTTTGAAAACACATTTTCAACTAAAGGGACTCATATCCCGTATTTTTTAGATAATCATGTCCCTTGATAACCCGTCACTCAATAAAATCAGATCTGAATGGGAAAGGGAACTTGGTGGAGAGATCTCTGATGAAGTCTGGAATGGTATCTTACTGAGGGTAAATGGAAGCTCCTCTTGTGTCCGGCTCAGCCTTGTACAGTTTAAGGTACTTCACCATATCCATTTCAGTAAGGCCAGACTTTCCAAATTCTACCCAAATATTGATGGTACATGTGACAGGTGTAAAGGCTCCTTGGTGGACTTGACCCACATGTTCTGGCCCTGTCCCCATCTGGCAGATTATTGGTCCACTATATCTAAAACCCTTTCTGAAGCATTTGATATGAAGTTGCAGCCTAGCGCAGAAATTGCTATTTTTGGAGTACCAAACAACAATCCTTCTCTAACCAATAGACAGCTGGATGCCATTGCCTTAGCCTCCCTGTTAGCCCACAGATTGGATTGGAAATCTATCATCCTCCCTTAGCCTCTCTATGGCACAAAGATCTGATGCTGTTCCTACAATTAGAAATACCATTAGAGGGTCAACCAACTGGGACCTGATGAACAGCTCCAAACACTTCCTCCAAATTAGTACTCTTGGCCCCACCCCCACCCCCACCCCCACCCCTTGAGATCACTGCTGTATAGGCCTATAAGATCACCTAATCACATGAAATTGTTAGGCTATTACATTTTTGCTTGTATTGAAGTAACATTGTTGTATACTTTTGTTTTGTTTTCTGACAACTCAATAACTTTCCATTTTTCTTTAAATGTGTTTGGAGGCATTCGGGGGGGGGGGGAACAAAAGGGGGGGAAATGTACAATGTCTTTACATTTAATCTTTCATTAACTGTGAATACAAATATTATATATACACCCAAAAAACTAACATCTGCAGAGCTGGGATGGTTGTATCCCCCATATATACAGTGAGGGAAAAAAGTATTTGATCCCCTGCTGATTTTGTACGTTTGCCCACTGACAAAGACACGTTTGGCAACTCGAACCTTCAGCTCCCTCCACAGATTTTCTATGGGATTAAGGTCTGGAGACTGGCTAAGCCACTCCAGGACCTTAATGTGCTTCTTCTTGAGCCACTCCTTTGTTGCCTTGGCCGTGTGTTTTGGGTCATTGTCATACTGAAATACCCATCCACGACCCATTTTCAATGCCCTGGCTGAGGGAAGGAGGTTCTCACCCAAGATTTGACGGTACATGGCCCCGTCCATCGTATCTTTGATGCGGTGAAGTTGTCCTGTCCCCTTAGCAGAAAAACACCCCCAAAGCATAATGTTTCCACCTCCATGTTTGACAGTGGGGATGGTGTTCTTGGGGTCATAGGCAGCATTCCTCCTCCTCCAAACACGGCGAGTTGAGTAGATGCCAAAGAGCTCCATTTTGGTCTCATCTGACCACAACACTTTCACCCAGTTCTCCTCTGAATCATTCAGATGTTCATTGGCAAACTTCAGACGGGCCTGTATATGTGCTTTCTTGAGCAGGGGGACCTTGCGGGCGCTGCAAGATTTCAGTCCTTCACGGTGTAGTGTGTTACCAATTGTTTTCTTGGTGACTATGGTCCCAGCTGCCTTGAGATCATTGACAAGATCCTCCCCGTGTAGTTCTGGGCTGATTCTTCACCGTTCTCATGAACATTGCATCTCCATGAGGTGAGATCTTGCATGGAGCCCCAGGCCGAGGGAGATTGACAGTTATTTTGTGTTTCTTCCATTTGCGAATAATCGACCACCAACTGTTGTCACCTTCTCACCAAACTGCTTGGCGATGGTCTTGTAGCCCATTCCAGCCTTGTGTAGGTCTACAATCTTGTCCCTGACATCCTTGGAGATCCTTTGGTCTTGGCCATGGTGGAGAGTTTGGAATCTGAGTGATTGATTGCTTCTGTGGACAGGTGTCTTTTATACAGGTAACAAGCTGAGATTAGGAGCACTCCCTTTAAGAGTGTGCTCCTAATCTCAGCTCGTTACCTGTATAAAAGACACCTGGGAGCCAGAAATCTTTCTGATTGAGAGGCGGTCAAATACTTATTTCCCTCATTAAAATGCAAATCAATTTATAACATTTTTGACATGCGTTTTTCTGGATTTTTTTGTTGTTATTCTGTCTCTCGCTGTTCAAATATACCTACCATTAAAATTATAGACTGATCATGTCTTTGTCAGCGGGCAAACTTACAAAATCAGCAGGGGATCAAATACTTTTTTCCCTCACTGTATACACTACCGTTCAAAAGTTTGGGGTCACTTAGAAATGTCCTTGTTTCCGAAAGAAAATCTTTTTTTTGTCCATTAAAATAACATCAAATTGATCAGAAATACAGTGTAGACATTGTTAATGGCTATTGTAGCTGGAAACGGCTGATTTAGAGCAAACTGGCTCTAACCAGAATAGAAAGAGGAGTGGGAGGCCCAGGTGCACAACTGAGCAAGAGGACAAATACATTAGTGAGAAACAGATGCCTCACAGGTCCTCAACTGGCAGCTTCATTAAATAGTACCCGCAAAACACCAGTCTCAACGTCAACAGTGAAGAGACGACTCCGGGATGCTGACCTTCTAGGCAGAGTTGCAAAGAAAAAGTCCAGTGTCTGTGTTCTTTTGCCAATCTTAATCTTTTCTTTTTATTGGCCAGTCTGAGATATGGCTTTTTGTTTGCAACTCTGCCTAGAAGGTCAGCATCCCGGAGTCGCCTCTTCACTGTTGACGTTGAGACTGCTGTGCAGCGCTACACCATCCAATCTGGTATGGGCTTAGTGGGACTATCATTTGTTTTTCAACAGGACAATAACCCAACACACCTCCAGGCTGTGTAAGGGCTATTTTACCAAGAAGGAGAGTGATGGAGTGCTGCATCAGATGACCTGGCCTCCACAATCCCCCAACCTCAACCCAATTGAGATGGTTTAGCATCCTACAAGTGCTCAGGATATGTGGGAACTCCTTCAAGACTGTTGGAAAACCATTCCAGGTGAAGCTGGTTGAGAGAATGC